CTCCGCGCCGAAGGTCCGTCCTGCGCACGACGCCTTCTCCTCCTGAGACAGTCCCTCAGCGAGGCCAGCGAGTCGCTCTGGAGCCCCCCTTCCACACTGCTCCCGCCAAGGCGCCCCACGGCGCGTGGTTCCCACCGGCTCGCGTCCAGCACTCTCCCTCCCGGCCGCTGGCCCCGGCTCGGCCCCGGCCCCCTTCACAAGCTCTGCATCAAACACTTCACGACGCAGTAACACACGGCCCGCCAGCACCGCGAGCCGGGACTCGGGTGCACACCCCTTCTCGGGGCAACAGGGCGCTAGTGAAGAGGCCTGCACCTGTAAGTCCTATAGATTTGGTTTAAGTCCTACCACTTCTTACCTAGATAACCGTGAATAAGTTATTTAAGATGGCTGGCCCTTACTTTCCTAATTTGTTAAATAAATAAATAAATAAATAAATAACATACTGCAGTTAAATTACTATAAATATTAAATGGGCTGATGTTCATAAAATGTTTAGCGCCATACCTGTCCTCCAGTAATCAGTCAAAATAATAATGATTACCCCTTACATATACAGTAATATAATATTCACTGATTTGTAACTCCTTTCAACATGTTATAAATACCTTCCGATGTTAATATGTACACGCTTATATTTTCATGGTATTTCATTACATAAATATGCCATAACACATTTACCGATCCTTTTGGGTTATTTCTAATTTGGGGGCAGTATAAAAAATGGCAATTAACTTAAGCCTAACTATTTGCATGTTCATCTTATTATTCCCCTTGAAGGAATCTCTGAGTCCAAGGAGCACGGTATACAGGCCTTGGCTACATGCCGACTGCTCTCCAGAAGAATTCTATAAATGTACATGCTCCCATCGACAGTGAAGGTGGCCGACATCTCTGACCTCATCTCTCTCTCACTCCTCCAACACGTTCTTCACCTGCCTTCGCAGCACCTATTCTAAGGTTCCTGGACCCCTGCAGATACCAAGATCCAAAGATGCTCTACTCCATTATTTAAAACATCATGAGCAATGAATGAATACAGTCAGCCCTCAGCATCTGCAAATCCCAATTGCAGATCAAAAATATGACTTTCAATCAGTAGCTGGTTAAATCCATAAATGTGAAGCCACAGATACAGAGGGCTAACTATGTTTACTGAAAAAAAAAAAATCCACGAATAAGCAGACCCATGCAGTTCAAACCCGCATTGTTCAAGGGCCAACTTTAGAATCATACAACTCTGGGTCACAAATCTCAGTTCTCTGTCATATCCAGAGTAAAAGCCTGGCTCCCCTTGCGCCCCATCCCTGCCTCTCTTTTGCCCCCGCCCCTCCATGCCTCTCACTGGCCAGTCATTGTGACCTGATTTCCCTCCACACACACTCAGACCCCTCCACCTAGATATCTAATAGCCATCTCACACTCCACAGGGCCCAAATTGAAATCGTGATCTTCCGCCTCTAGGTATCAATTCCAGCCTTCCAATTTCTCAGGACAAAAACTTTCAAGTCATTCTTGATTTTTTTTTTTTTTCTTACAACCCCTCTCATTTCAGCATCAAGAAATCCCAATGGCTTTTAAAAGTTTCCAGAATCTGACCCCTTGTCCACCTCCATTGCCAACATTCTCACTGGGGCATTCCCCTAACCCCCTTTTCCCTGCTCTAGCGTTTTCATTATTTTAGAGCATTTACCACATACTAAGATACTACATGATTTGTGCATTCTACTTTTTTTGTTGTTGTTTTTATCCTCACCCGAGGACATTTTTCCATTTTTTTGTTCAGGTAGAGTGTGGTGGGGGGAGAGAGGAACAGAGAGAGAGAGAGAAACATCGATGTGAAAGGGACACATCGAGTGGCTGCCACCCGCACAACCGACCAGGGCCGGGGACAAACTGCAACTGAGGTACGCGCCCTTAGCAGGAACCAAACCCGGGTCTCTCAGGACCGCAGGCCGACGCTCCAACCGCTGAGCCAAACCGGCCAGGCCTGCATTCTACTTTTAAAAAAATTTTTTTATTGATCTTTGAGAGAGAGGACGGGAAAGGAAGACAGAAGGAGAAACACTGATCAGCTGCCTCCGGCACGCCCCCTACTGGGGATTCAGCCTGCCACTCGGGCATGTGCCCTGACCAGGAATCCAACTGGTGACCACAGGACAACACTCAACCCACTGAGCCACACCGGCCAGGGCCATTGTTTTTTCACTGATGGCATTTAAGTTGCACAACCACTTTAATCTGTTTAGTTCAACAGTATATTGCAGACGCCTAGAACACTGCATGGCACACAATAGGCACACATCAACCAGCAGTTTAACAAACAAACAAAATACCGCACGTAGTTTCATGCCCTCTAGTTTTTCAGGCCCTATAGCTGAATTTTCAAATGATCTGGGGAAAGAGTCAAGAATCATAAACCGAAAAAGCAGCAAGGGGGGTGGACAGAGGCCATTGGCAGTCGGTGGCCCGTGTTCCCCCCGGAGGGAGCGGTTGCTACTCAGACTCAGACAAGCCCTACCCTGCAGGAGAGCAGGCCCCTACTGTGAGGGGGCACGTGAGGAGTGTTCCTACATCCGATTTGTCAAGTGAAGATGGAAATCCAGGTCTTTGTGTTAAATCTTCTCGTTTTAAAATTATGGCCACTGATAGCAACTGGAAACTGGATGCAGAAAACTGAGCACTTAGCGACTCGCCCCCCAGCACAGACTTTGACGTGAGCTTGTGCTTTATTTGTTGTTCTGTGATTGCTTCCTGTGCATATTTATTCTCCCAAATAAAATAACGGTAAATGGAAAACTCATTCTGGCAACTGATTAACATTTTGCAACCAAAACGACAGGCCAGACAAACCTCCACTGTGGGCTACAGTCACACCCAGGCGCCACCCGCCGGGAAGCGTGCTCCGTGGCGAGACCTCTCTCTTTGATTTTCTGCCTGAATAAAACCTACGGGTTTTCACGTCTGCTCCCAGCAAGGCCACTCTGGTGCCCACTTCCGGTTCTGCAGCCCAGCATCCCCTGGTCACAGGCTTCCGTCACCCTCCTTGCCCCCTGAGTGCAACGCTCCCCTCGCTCCCTGTGGGTGTGCCCGGCCCCATCTCCCTTATGTACTCGCAGGGAGTGTGGGCTTGGAGCCGGGAGGTCCTTAGTAGCATTTTCTCAGGACAGAAAAGACAAAACTTGGAGAAACTGAGTCACCGCTAATACATGATAAAACTGAGACTTAACCCTGGCCAGTTTGGTTCAGCGGTTAGAGCATCGGCTTGCGGTCCAGAGAGACCCAGGTTCAGTTCCCGATAAGGGCGCGTACCTCGGTTGCAGTTTGTCCCCGGCCCCGGTTGGGTCGTGTGGGTGGCAGCCATTCGATGTGTCCCTTTCACGTCGATTTTTCTCTCTCTCTTCCTCTCTCTCTCTCTCTCTCTCCCCTCCTCCCTCCCTCCCACTCTATCTGAACAAAAAATGGAAAATGTCCTCGGGTGAGAATAAAAAACAACAACAACAACAACAACAACACTGAGACTTAAATCCAGGTTCGAATTTTCAGCCTTAAAATGACAATACAGCTTCTAATGAGTACAGAGATAATTCTCAGACCAGCTCACGCCTAATTAGCCCAAAGTAAAATCTAAAGAAATCCAAGTAAATGCTGTTTTGCTGTAAATGACAAAATTATTTATATGTTACCAAAAAAGTGACTCTTACTTTTTAGTTAAAAATGTATTGTTAAAAAGATAAAGCATAAATTTTGTATCCTTAGATATTTACGGAGCCTCAGGATATCACGTTATAACTGCCTTACAAGAGAAAGAAGGCTGCGGTCACCTAAGTTCGTAGGAAAAGCAGGGCTACTAAACAAGAGGATATTCACATATTCGTAGTGGTTTTAGAAGAAATCGACATTCTAAGTTAAACAAAAATGGTCTCTCAAAAATCCTTTCTGACATATGATCAAGCCCTTTCTCACAAAAAAATAAACACTACTTATAATTTCCCTTTATTAAATTTTGTTTGTTTTTTCATTAATTTATGTATTTATTACAGATGTTTCCCCCCATTGACACCCTCCTTTCTACTCCCATTCCCCCTTGAATTTTATTTTTAAAGATATTTAAAAATTGGCCAAAAATCTCTAATGACAAGAAAATTTTATTTTGTAATAGTGAGAGCTATCAATAAATAAAGGAGAACTTTTTTTTCCAATTCCAGATCCATAAGTAGGCCAAAGCAGAAATACCAAAGGCCGATAGCTGCATTTCCACATTATTCCACAAGATGGCAGCATGTAACTGAATAACCACAATGGCGATGAAGTGGGGGTGTCTTCACCACAAACAGAACAATAGAAACCCTTTCGTTTCATGGTGAGGTTTCAAGTTAGAGCTTTCTGATAATCACTTCATAAGTGTGTTTTCATGGATATTTCCCTATTTTAAGCCCAGTTTTTAACATATTCTTACAGCAGGCTGTAAAGGCTAATATTTAGATATTTATTTTTTGAAATCTTTTCATTTTCTCCATTCTAACGAACTTTCTCCAAATTCTTACGATCCAATTAAGAACCTGTACGTACTTACTCAAGTCCAGGAAGTATCCCAGGCACCACACCAACACTGGCCTATTTGTCTACGTGGGTTCGTTCTTTTCCTCCACTTGACAGATGAGAACATTGAAGGGAAGGATCAGTGGGCCACCCACGGGACTCTCCTGCTCACTAGACAGGAACACAGTTACTGCGCAACTGGAGTCTCCAGGAAGCCTCTGCCGTATGTGTGGGCGGGTGTGGGCTAAGACTTCTGGTCTCGCTATCGTCCTTTGTTACCGAGTGACAGCGCACACGCTGAATTGCACAGCTGGGCACCAGCCTAGGTGGTACCAGCGCCTGGGAGGTGTGTAGAAAGTCACACGACTAAACCACGTAGAGCTCTTTGCTCTGTGTGGCTGTGACATTAAGAACAACACCGAAATCTGTATAAACACATGTGCTCAAGTGTTGCTTACGTCATTTGTACTCCTGTCTTGCTTCTCGGATTTTTCTCGGTCATAAGCCATTTTCTTCAGCAATTTCTTCATTGTTTTCTTATCTTTTTTAAGATTTTCAGTGTTTTGCTTCCTCACTTGGTTGACAAGAAACTTGGGAATCTGTGGAGAAAGAAAATTAAGTTGAGGGAGGACAATGAAGTGGCACCATTTTGCACTATGGAAATGACAGATGTCCCCTCAATCTAGAGAAGGGAGAGGTGTGTCTGTCCGATGAGACTATGCACTTCCTTCGCCCTTGTCATGAAATCAGTGAAACCAAATGCACCGTGTTAGTCATTCACCCTGGGTACAGGGCGTCCACATGATGTCATTCACCACCTACTGTGCAAGGTTCAAGAAGAGGTGTGGCGGGGTTCGAGGGCCTAGAGGCCATCATCTAAGTCCGGGACGTTAAGGCTGGAGACAGCCTGAGGTGCCTGGCCTTCGGGGCCACCTTGCTACCACCTCGCCTCCAGCTAACCCACGGTCTCCACCTCATGGCCAGCCAGCCTCTCCTGTCAGAGAGAGAGAACACACAAGTACACCGAGCTGACAGGTCCCTAGCGATAACTCAGGAACAGTCGGTCCTGAAAAATTACATTAGCAAAATAAACTCTTTTAGAAGTGACAGAATTGGAATAATAAAATAAGGTTGGCATTTGAATAATTGAGGTTTAATAAACGGATGTTAATTTTTTTTTAATGCATTTGAGATCGTTTATATTGGTTACCTTCTTATAGAGAACATAACAATAGAAAGACTTGAGAATGTAGATGTTATCACTCATTAACAGCTTGAAAATATATACTTACTGTCCACAGAAGTTTTTGATGCTTAATCAGTAAGTGCATGATATTGGCGGTCCCCACGGCCATGGCAAATTCCTGCTGTTCGCTGGACTTCAGAGCCAGTGGGTGACACATGAAGAGGTTCGGGGCCATGACCATTGCCACATTCATGACGGTCATCTTATTTTTCTCCTTATTATCTATTACTCTTTGGAGAAATTCAAGCAGGGCCTGAAACAGAAATGATCTCTGAGATTTGTGTAGTATGTGAGCATGAGAGACTAAGACGTTGTAGCACATGGGATTTTTATTTGGTTAAAGAAATAGTTGTGCATAACCCCAGTCAGTGAGCCCATCCAGCAGGGCTGCCAGCAAAGCGTCCCCACGGGCGAACGTGCCCTGAGGTGGTGCTGTGCGTCCGCTCGGGACCATGGCCCTGGGGAGCAGGTGGTAGGTCAGGAATGGAGAGAGGTCAGATCAACAGGCGACCGGAGCCTTGGAAAGCAGTTTAAAACACTGTACAAATATCCACTTGCTGCAGGAAGCGTGTGCTTTTATCTCCAGAAATTAAAAAACCAACCAACCAAAGGATTCCCTTAAAGAGGCGCATTTAACCTCAGCTTCAGTTGCTTTCAGGTACTCAATAGCGAGCTGACGCAAAGTCTAAAACAAAGGTTATGATGGGGAGGAAAGGGGAGTTAAGAGAGACAAAGAAAATAGAGTCTTAAAAAACAAATATATGAATACATAAAAAGGAACTTTCCACCAGAATGAGCTAGTTTATGCTCAGGTATGCCACCTCCTTCCCACCTTTATTGACAACACCCGAGTGTCCTCTGAGCCTATCCAAAAGCCACAGGCAGATGACCCTCCTCCTGATAGGGCTTAAAGCTCCAAGTTCTTCTTTTGCCTCCTTTCTTGAATTATTTGGGTCCAGAACAATAACAATGACTGCACCGTATTCAGTGTTCTCTCTGCATTGTTGTAAGCTCACCAGAGAGCTCATCTCACTTAATCCCTACTGGACACAGATCATGTAATTATCCCCATTTTACAGACGAGAAAACAATGTCTAGGAGGATGTAAGTAACTTACCAGAGGTCAGAGAGCTAGCAAATGGTGGAGAAACAATTCAGTGGCAGGTCTCTGTGGCTTTTGTGTCTGAATTCTTAACTACTAGAAGAAATCATGTTTTCTTATTTAGCTTAAAATCTCTCCCTGAAAAGGGTCAAATAAACTATACCCAATGGAAAAGGGGGGTGGGGGGGGACTATTCATCTCTCACAGCATTTCAGGGGGAAGAAACTCCTAACAGGTTGATCTTGAATCAAACGTAGCTGCTACATAGATCTCAAGAATGTGGAGGGAACTAAAGACATAGCCTATCTAACAATGAGATTTATGTGTCTAATTTCCGGTCTAGTGCTCAGAAAGTTAAATCGTAATCCAAGCATGAGGTTTTATAGAAACAATACCTTCTCAAATGAGGACAAAAGATTAATTGGTGAGGTTTGGGAAAAATATTTAATTTTGTTCCATAGCGCAGAATAATTATTCAGGAATCAGTGTCTCTCTTTCTTTACAAGCATAAATTACAAAGATTAGGTAATGAACCATTTTAATTGTGGTGTGCGTTTGCAATGAGGTTATTCAAAATATTACTCTCAGAATATTAGAAAGTATCTATGTGTAGATACGAAATTAATAAGATGTTAGGTTAGCCTAGCCCTTGCTGAAAGAACATCATCATCAGATGTACTTCCTCTTCATCTAAACTCTAACAACTGCCCTTGTAAAAAAGTATCTATCACCAGTCTGGTATTTTGTAAGTATCATGGACCCCTCTCTCTCTCTGAAAACCCAGTTTAAAGTCCAACACGGTTACTTATTTTAGCGTAACCTTTTGACATCTCTGCTCTGTATTCTTCTTGTTGGTAGTGGGAAGACTCATCCCCCACAGGGCCAGGACCAGGAGAGGAGTGTATGTTAACAAACCTCCCCCCAAAAATTAAGACGAGAGCTACCATATGACTCAGCAATCCTCTTTTAAGTATCTACCCCCCAAATTTAAAACACACGTATTCATAAAAATGTATGCACCCCTATGTTCAGTTTGCGTTAAGCTTCCTGACATGGAGTTTCCCTGGTCCTGTATGGAACTAAATTGAAATGGTTTATTCTCTTGTACATATGTATACTTGTTTCAACATTTCTATTATTAGAATTCTTGTTCAAAACCTTCATCAGAGCTGGCTAATTAAGCTACTAAAGCTTATGTAAATTAGTAAAATTACTTGTTTGCGTTTTACAATTTTTTACGCCCCAAAAGTATTTCCAAAATTGCTTATAAAATTGTGCTCCCAGTAACTTTATATAGAAAAATTTAAAACTACGCAAACATTTTTTAATTATATTTTAAAACAGAGTATTTAAAATAGCGTGCCTCAGATTTTGAAGGCAAAGTACAAAAACACAGTCTAGACCAGCCTGCCCAGCAGTGACCTTACTGCAGCCGCATGAACGCACCTGACGCAGAAATACTTTAAGTCACCTGTGTCCTTCCAACTCCACCCTTTACTGGTCATCCCCAGGCCCACACAGAGACAGGCACCTTTATGTGAATAAGAAAAAGATGGATTACATCCGTCTTTCGGGTCGTTGAAGCCCTGGGCTAGGGGCACAGCCGGAGAGCAGAGAACAGACTGGAAACCACCTTGTCCTGGGCCGGACGCCCCGGTGTCTGCCACCAACTACACATCCTTACACAGTTGGTGGTTGTGACCTTGTCCGGAGCTGTACTCTGCCTCCAAAACAGAACAAAACCTGAAGCTCCCGGGGATTCATGGATAATCACTGAAGCCACAGATTTTTTCCTGACTTCATCAGGGGAAGACCCTCGGGACGTTCTCCTGCAGCAGTGCAGTGTCTGTCACCCCCGTCACCCGCATCGACTGCTTTGACCCAGACCAGCCGAGTGCCTGCATTCACTCCATAGCATGAGAATGACCCCTCGCCCAGTGTCAGTTCAAGGAGTCCTACTGAGATGCAGAAAAAATTTCCAGGATCTACCAACTGGTGGTCCTGGGTTCTTGACATGACATTTCTTAACATGGTATTTCATTTTAAACAAAGAACTGTAGGAGGTAGAAGGGCAAGGATTCCACCCTTACCTGAATTAAAAAAAAAAAAAAAAAGTATCTTTAAGGCAACAGCAAAACTTAAGGTAAATATTCTTTTTAATTAATTAATTAATTAATTTATGTATTATTTTATTTAGAGGAAGGGAGAGGGACAGAGACAGAAACATCAATCGGCTCCCCTGAGGATGGAACCAGCAACTCGGGCATGTGCCCTGACTGGGAATCAAACCAGCCACCTTCCGGTTCACGGAACAATGCTCAACCAACTGAGCCAAACCCGCCAGGGCTCTAAACTACACTTTTAAAGTCTTCTCTTTTTCTTTTATACAAGTTTATAATTAAACCCTTTGCTACTACCCTAATGAACTTGTGTCATTAACCTGTTAACCAAGCGGGACGTATAAATACGGCAAACGTTGCATACAGTAAAAAGGGAAATTCCCCGGTTAACAGGTTAAGGAAAATTAATCAATGTGGAGCAATCTACTGATGATTATAAAAGACTCTGACAACACTTAGAATAAATGATATTCAATCATATAACATTAGAACAAAACACTTGGAAATCATGACTTAAACCAGCAACTCAAGGTAAGCCTTTAGGGAAATAACTGGAATTTGTTTGAGTCGGTCTGTCTTTAGGCTAACCAAACATTTTTAAATCATCACTATGATTTATTCCAAACTCCAAACAAACATAACATCTTTACGCAACAGTGGGTTCCATGCAGTGGCTCTTAGGATCTTCTTTTTCAACACTTGTTTTCACCTCTACTAATACACACTCATTAAATAAAATTCGGAAAATGCAGAAAAGTAGAAAGAAGAAGAAAAAAAGAAAGCACCCCTGCTTCCATTAAGAAATGAACCCCAATCATCTCTTTTGGTATAAGAAATGTCCTAGTAAAAACTGAAACACAAAACACCTAACTAACATGGCCAACCCAGTAAATACATGAATAAAGAGTTAGACTTTTACTAGGTGTCCTTAAAAACAGGTCTTTTCTTTACCGCTTACTCCTAATATTTCCATGGTAATATCACACTGTTTTGCCACAAACACTAGCTCTGAGAGCTCAGGAAAGGAATCGCTGACCTTCAGTGTGTCCTGATTCGCTTCAGGCAGCAGGATGACAAGGAGGTTCAAGGCCTGGAGCTGCTGCTTCTTGGTGGGAAGATCTGGAGACAGATTAAAAACATCAGCACTCTTTTCTGTACTAAACATGATCTCTACTTTCTTTTTGTATTTTGTAAGAGAAAAAGTGATTTGGCATCAGCATCACTGTGAAAGGTGAGACGGCGATAGAGCAGCAGCCTTGGCGGGAGGGTGTGTGGGCGACCGAGCCGCTGCTCCGCGCTCTCCCTCCAGGATGCTCACTGCTCACTGCCCACCGCACCCGGGCCGGGCGCCTCTGTGTGCTGACGCACTACCACGCTATGAACATAATTCACCTTCGGCATGGTCATTATTCCCCAGTAAAAAGAGAGAGAAGACTGGACCCTGAACCGTGTGAGGCAAGAATGATCTGTAACAGTCAAGTTTGTTTCTTTTGATGGCGAATGAACAGATTATGTAGTAAGTGTCCATGAGTTCCAACAGGAACACGTATCACAGAGCCTGGAACACAATAGGTGTTCAATAAACATTGGTGGAATGAATTGGAAAACCAACCAGCAATGGAGGAGTCGAAGAGGAACATTATTACCATTGATATTTATCCTCTTGGTAGCCCATATGCCATTGAAGTAACGATCATGGATATTTGGGAGTCATTCTGGCATTTGTTTTTCAGGGATACATTTGTTCCTTTAATCCACATCTAAGGAGTGTGTGTAAATTAGCACAACTTAACCATTCAAAATTTTAAATTTTAAGCAGATTATTTCAGTCATGTCTTCCCTAGAAATTCTGAAGAAATGTTCTGCTATAACCCATGGGCATCATCTCAATATTACATGCTTTAAGAATAGCTTGGAACACAATGGAATATTATTCAGGCCCTAGACAAAATGACATCTTGTCACTGTGACAACAGGGATGGACCTTGCAGATATCGTATTAAATGAAATAAGTAGACAGAGAAAGACAAATGCCATATGATTTCTCTTATATGTGGAATCTATTTCATTTTTAAAGCCAAGCTCATAAATGCAGAGAACACACTGGGGGCTCCCTGCTGGGGTGGGGGCAAATGAGAGAAGCAGGTGCAAAGGCCCAAGCTTCCCGCTATAACATCAATACGTCCTGGGGATGCGACATACAGCATGGTGACGAGAGTTAATGATACTGTGTTGCATATTTGAAAGAGACTAAGAGAGTAGATCTTAAAAGTTCTTATCACAAGAAAAAAAAAAGATGTCCATAACTATGTATGGTGACAGATATTAATTAGACTTATTGTGATCATTTCATAATATAGAAAAATACTGAATCATTACATTGTACACCTAAAACTCATGATATTGTATGTCAATTATACCTCAATAAATTTTTTAAAAAGAAGAGCCTAGAATAATTCTGGGTGAGACTGTAGCTCACCATAATCGTTCATAGTTCTGGGTGATACTGTAGCTCACCATAATCATTAATAGTGTCCCCCTTTTATCTCAAATGTGTCGCGATTTGGAAGTGAAATGTGGTCACCAGAATGTGGCCCTTTCCTTCTGTTGGCCTCCCAGGACCCTAAGAGATGATTATGCCAGTCTATAAATCTCATAAGAGCTGTGTTCACCAGACAGAAATGGAGAACTCTCTGAGACATTAATTTAGAGCATGCCCAAGACTACAAAATGGCAATACATAAGAAATCCGTTGCCCCTGACCCCGCCTCAATGAGGCAGTCACGTGGTTTGCTATGCCTGCATGACAATTTCAGAAAGTTGATTCTTCAGAAAATAATCACAGACTCTGCCACATCTCCTCATGCTCTTATGATATAACTGTTCATTCACAGCTTCTCCAGTAAGTGTTGTTTTTAACACTTAGCAAGAAAAATGTATCAGAGATCTTCCATGACTCATTCTATTATTAGAGAAATGTGAAGTTTCCAGGTTTTACCATGAAAATATATTGTATTGCCTAAAGGGCATGCAATTAATCTGTACCCAAAGAGAACATTCTGTTTCCGACTGACTCACAGATGTGTATTATAAGGGGAAGGCGAGGGAACGTGCGGCATCTGTGCCCCCATCGACATCAGCCAGCACGTCCATCCAAACATACCTGGTCACACTGGTCATGACGCACAGCGTCGTGCAGACCGTGACCAGGGGCGCGGGGGCGCGGGGGCGCGGGCCGTACTCACTCTGCACGGCCTGGAAGGCCCGGAGGTACTCCGCGCTGAGCAGCGGCTGCGGCAGCTCTCGGATGAACAGCTTCAGCAGGCTGGCGGCGTCGTGCTGCTTGACGCTCTCCCAAGGAAAGGTCCCTTCGTAAAACTTTGCTTCCAGTTCTTGGCAAAGATTCTGAAAGGCAGAAGGGAAATCAGGGCCACCAGTAAATGCATTCTTTTCTCCTGCTGAGAGTGGGATGCGCTACCCACTCTATAAGCCATGAACAGACTCGTGCAAGGACTCCGGACGCCACCTCTCCGCCACTCCGAAGGCACGACTGCCCCTGCACCTGTCCCTGTGCCCACGCCTGCCCCTGCGCCAGCCCCTGCCCCTGCCCCCGGGGCCCGCGCCCGCCCCCGTGCCCGCCCCCGTGCCCGCCCCTGCCCCGTGTGGTTCACCGAATGACGATTCTTCCTCCGGCCAGAACCTCAGAGCCCCCCCACCTTCTCCTGGACATGAAACTGACCTTATGCAGTAAAGGTTTAATTAAAAGGTTAGTTAATCAAACAACAAGTGTTGGCAAGGGTGTGGAGAAAAGGGGAGGCTAGTACACTGCTGGTGGGAATGCAGACTGGTGCAGCCACTATGGAAAACAATATGGTGTTACCTCAAAAAATTAAAAATGGAACTTCCATTTGACCCAGTGATCGCACTTCTAGGAATATATCCTAAGAAGCCTGAAACACCAACCAGAAAGAATACATGTGTACCCCCATGTTTGTAGCAGCACTATTTACAATAGCTAAGATCTGGAAACAGCCCAAGTGTCCATCAGTAGACGAATAGATAAAAAAGCTGTGGTACATATACACAATGGAGTACTATGCAGCTGTAAGAAAGAAAGATCTCTTATCCTTTGAGACGACATGGAGGGACCTGGAAAGTATCATCCTAAGTGAAACAAGCCAAACAGAGAAAGACAAGTATCATATGATCTCACTTATTTGTGGAATATAATGAACACAACAGTCTGAGGAAGGGGGTAGTCCCAGAGACGCGGAAGTGGGGTGCAGACTGACAATCCCCTAAATAGGGGGGTGGTGGGGAAGAGATAAACCACAGAATTTATATGCATGTATGCATAAACAGGGGACATGGACAACAAACTGAGGAAAGGGCAGGGAGGGCGGGGAAGGGGGGAATCGGTGGGGGGAAAAGGAGAAACGTCTGTAACAAAAATTAATTAATAAAAAATAAATAAATTTAAAAAAAAAAAGGTTAGTTAAGCCTGGCGGGTGTGGCTCAGGGGTTGAGCATTGACCCAGGCACACAATTCCCGGTCAGGGCACATGCCCAGGTTGCGGGCCAAATCCCCAGCGCGGGGCATGCAGGAGGCGGCCAGTCCACGTTCTCTCTCATTGATGTTTCCCTCTCCCTTCATCTCGCTAAAATCAATAAAGCAAAAAAAAAGTTTAGTTAAAATAGACTCTACATTAGGGGGCTTCATTGAGATACTATAATTTTTCATTAAATTTTTAAAAATCATTTTTCAAAAGTTTATGTTTTAAATTATTTAGAAATACATTCCATAACAAAATCATCATCTGTCTCTGGGCCTGAAGCAGAAGGCTACCTCCGGGAAGTGCAAAGCCGAACTCTACAGCTGATGAGGCATGGCAATAGCTGGTAGCCCCGTCCTCCGGGCCGAGCCTGCGTGGCACAGCCCCTGCCGCCGCTCAGCCGTGCTGTGGTCCGTGCGGAATGAGAAATACCTAGTTCATTTACCTCAAGGACTCTACGAATTTTGCCAAAGTATTAGTAGTAAATCAATTTAGTTTCACAATTACTATTTTCTATATGCTTCTCCACTGTGGCGTAAATCCTATTACGTTAGAAATCCTTCCAAGAACCTGTCATTTTCCTCTATGATTTGAAAATTGTTCTCCCAAATTAATGTTCTTTGTTCTCCCTATAAGGTGAATTTATTACAGTTGCTCTTCCCAATTCGACTGCCTTCTCTACCCCAATTACGTCTGTGACTGGTGAAACACATAAAGGTAAACCTAGAATTGGGGAGTGGGGGAGAGGGAGGTGAGGGAGGAGAGGGATGAAAAGGAGGAGGGGGGGAGAGAAGGAAACGAGGGAGAAGAATACAGGACATTTTGTGAGGCAGGGGCGAAAGACAACCAAAACTGTTGCATGTCATCTTTATGGATGACGGGCCAGCTGCTGCATGGTCTGCGTGTGACAACAAGCTGGGTTGGAGAAGAGAGCCAGCTGAATCCACTTAATCGACCTGCTTAGAAACTACATTTAGTTGAACTCATTCTTCTGCCAGCAATCCAGTCAAAATATAAAATACACATTTCGTTCGCTATTGGGTGCTGAAGTAAATGTGTTTATGACTTGTGAGCTGGCCATTACATCCTGCTAATGAATGCTTGAGCAGAGCATTGAGAAGCCGTATACTTGCTGAGGCGGGTAATATGAAGTCCCAGCACCCGTTTCTGAGTCTTTCTCTGTACGAGAATGCACTCCTCCACAGAACTTGTCTCAGAATCACATATCATGCCCATGATTGACGGGTCCTGAAATTGCCGTAGGTGTTTGCAAACGAACTGAGACAATGGCAACTTATCAGACTTACAAGAGCACCAGAACAGTTTGGGGACCTCTGTGCACCAGACACCAGACCCAGGGGACACAGGCTGAATGAAATTTGTGAGCGGGGAATATCAGGTGACTGGAATCCGATGAAACTGATCACGATTCAGTAAGGGCCAAGCAGGCTGAAACCAGCCTCCTCAATGGAGGAAGCTTATTAAATGAGCGGGTGATGGAAATGTGGGTCGGATGAATAGTAACTCCACTCCTGGCAATACCACAGCCTCAGCCACAGGCGAGGAGTGTGCACCCACCAAGGGTCACTTCTCCTGATCCAGCTCTGAAGATATCATATGGGATAGGTCTCAAGGAAATGAACAGAGAAAATCTCTCCCCTCTATCCCGCTTTCTCTTGGATTTGCAAATTCAGGGAGACTACACTTTGGATGTGGGCAGTACCTTGTACTATCTCAGGTTAGAGCTGCAGCTGACTTTGGAGGAGAAGGTAAGGAGATGGTGACTGCTAACCAAAAACGTTCCCAGATCAATTTTCCAGACAGAGCTGCAAGTCCAAGCATGAGGCCCCAGAAAGCGCAAATCCCCTGAGTGGCATGTGAATCATGCAGCGTGTGTGGGGCAGGTGCACCTTCTCCATGCACTGGATGGACATTTCATTCCCCAGATCAGGAGCTGGAAGGCAGAGAGAAAGGGGGAGGGTACACAGCATCCTAGGATAGTGGGAAGGAAGTGCCATCTTGAGAGAAAAGAAAGCGGGGGGGGGGGGGGGGGCTCTAACCGGGACCTCTGGGAACGACCTCCTTCACAAGCTAGACTCAGGCTACCCTGAATCCAGTGAGACAGGAGACTGTGAAAGGCAGGAAAGGGATTGAGACAGAGTCTCATTTTGGCAGCTCACTAAGACTAATCATGTCAAGTCTCCTACTCTGCTCACTTGGTGGAGTTTATCATCCTGTCTTTTTTTAAAAGCTCAACTGCTATTATTCAAGCTGACTAAATCTATCACTGGGCTCCTATTAATATTTTGATTCATCGTGTTCTCGTCTCTCCAGAAGGATGACACTACTCTTGCCTTTTGCCTGTTGACATTTTTTTTTTTTTAATCCTTACCTGGGGAAGTTTTTCCATTTTTTGTTCAGATAGAGTGGGAGGGAGAGAGAGGAAGACAGAGAGAGAGAGAAACATCGACGTGAAAGGGACACATCTAGTGGCTTCCACCCGCACAGCCAACCAGGGCCGGGGACAAACTGCAACTGAGGTACGCGCCCTTAGCAGGAACCGAACCCGGGTCTCTCTGGACCACAGGCCGATCCTCTAACCGCTGAGCCAAACCGGCCAGGGCTAGCCTGTTGACTTGTGTTACTACGTGATGTTTGCACAGTAGAGAGATTATCCTCCTCTTTGTTTATCATAGTATTACTATGGGTAATATGGTGATTCAGGAAAAAAAAAAAACTTAAACAAGTCAGAAGAGACTACAGAAAAACTAAATATAAACTGAATGTCCAGAAGTTTTATTGCTATATTTAATCTCCTAACAATAGGAAGAGAGGGTGGGAAGGCAAGTTGACTTTTAAAATGCCGAAGTATAATGGAACAATAAAGTTTTACGTTGAGAGACTACCTTGATCCTGATGGAAGCTCCAGGTATTCTCAAGAGGCCTTCAGTTTCCAAACCACCCTCTTCGATCTGAGAAATCAGCTGTGTACAAACAGAAGAACATTCTGACTTTGGTGTTCGTAACAGGTACAATGTAACATCGGTTTCACATACAAACGAATGAAACTGATCACAAGGATACATAAACTGGATTTCATGAAGTTCTGAACCCAGCAGCATCCGCATGGCCACTGTGCTTTAACCAGGGAGTCCCAAACTTTAGTTACAATGTAGAATTTAAGAAAAGTTGGGTATTATACGCCTTTGTAACAAAAGTATATAATTTCACACAACAGCTGTGGAATTCCAAACAAACAGAAACTGAAAATGTTCGTTGTTTACAAGCAGCTAAAACCATCCATTTCTTCGGCTTTTCCCGAAACATACATTCCGTAACCAAATAAATCTTATGAAATCCTAGAATTTTCACATTTACATCTCTCTTTTAACTTGTTCAAAGAAAGAATTATTTATGATATGAAGATTTAAAAAAAAAAATTCTTTGCAGATATTCATTTTTAAGCCTTCAAGCTTTTGGTGGTAAATGTAAATAAAAAGCAGTTCTGTAGAGAGCTTCTAAATCATGCCCGATGCCCTATTATTGCCTGCAGATCTCTCTACCTCCACAGTCCCATTAAAACAACTAAGATTTTTTTTTTTAATAAGGCAGAAACACATAGGAATAAGGCAAACAGAAACATTGCAATGACAGACGTTGGAAGATTATAAAAGAGAGGTTGGTTTCTTGGCAGAGTGATCTTCCAATTAGAATATGCATTCCCTGGGCAGTACATGAGGTTTCATAGGGGGCATTCTGCTATTTTAAGAAAATCAATTTCCTTGCTCCTTAGTTTTGATAAAAGGTATTTACTAGCATCGTGCAGGTTTTCCTTTCTACCCCTCACCCTTCTTCCACAATGACCTTCTCCTACTTCAGAAAGGGCAGACATACTCTACACTCATCCCTAATCCTACCACAATACTCTCGGCACACCCTAAGGCATAAAATCTTCCAGAGTGCTAAAAGAATGTAAAAGTATACGCATTTCTTTTTCTCATAGAAACTTCCTTTAATGATTAACCAAGGCTCTATAAACGACATAAAGCTTACTGTTTTCCCCTTGGCTATAAAAGTATCTTAGGAGCAAAGCATGGCATCATAAATGAGGCCTTTTGACCTCTGTCTCGATGTTCTGAAATCAGATACATTGTAGAGTGTGTAGACACTGGACGAGATGGCAGTTCTTCTTTAATGACCTTACCTCTTCTACCCTGGATTATGGCCAAAGAATGAACTGATCTTGAGGGGGTTAGGTAAAAATAAAACAAAGCGTAGTCTCAAAATTTTCCCAAGGATTTATTATTAACAGAAGAGAGAAGCATCTTTAACCAATCAGTCAATGCAGTACGTGATTTTTTGAAACTTAACTGGAATATTTTTCAAGACTGTATTTTTCAAATTACACCAGATAAAAACACGCATCAAAATAATTTATATAATTATTGTACATTAGATGGGCATTATTCAGTAAAGTATTTAAAACCAAATTTATCAAATAATATCATGTAAAAGTTATTCGATGTACAATTTTTGCTTTATTTAATTTTATAAAATGTTTAAAATACTCTATTATGAAAAGATAGAATTATGTGCTAGCTGCTAAAGCAAATTAGTTTTTAGCAGCATAAGTCTTTTGCTTTCGTTGCATACAAAGGAAAAATTGACCATGATTTCTAAATAACTGAATGAGAGTAATTTCTGAATTTTTATATTTGGGTCTTTTTTTAAATTATTATTCTCTAAAGCTGAATAAAGGAATGTCATATGTTTTCTCATATTTTTTGCTTCATAAATAACATATTTTTAGCTCCCACATTATATTGCATTATTAAAACATAATAATACTTTATAGCTTTCCTTTCATTTCCAAGACTTAAAATAGACATGAAAAATAACTATATCAATCTATACGTTTTAATAATGCTGCTTTTAGTAATTTATCTGTCAGGATACATTCTGCAATTTACTAGCAATTTTCATAGCACTTCCCAAAATACATACTATATACTTATATGAATTTAAAAAAGAATTGAAAATGAAGTCAAACTTTTTGACACAGTTTGTTTGATTTGGCTGATTGGTTTGACAATGAGAAAATAATTTGCTAATTAGGTAGAATTTTTCCATAGATAAAAATTAAGAATATTTCTAGTTCCTCAAATATTTCTGAAAATATGGTTTAAATGTGCCTCGGGGGTGGGGGGAGGGGAAGACGCGGGGAACAGAGCTTACTGAAAAGCTTTGTTAAAGCCCTTTTGGGGTACATTTCTCAATAATTGAGAAAATACAATCCTCTAAAGATTACAAATGAATCTTTTTGCAAATCAGTGTTTCTGATTCTTTCTTTTCTACAAAATTGAGGGAATATCTAATTGAGTTTTTAGCTGATAAATCAAAAACTATTTTTCATGACAAATCATTGTGATGTTTTTATTTATAACTCAGAGAGGATACAAACAGATAAGTGTTTACCTATTAGTAAGCTCTTTATATGCCCTTTCAATTTGTTTATTTTTTTTGTAATGAACAAAAATACTTTGGAGCTGTTATCCAATAATTCCAAACTGGTGGGTAGCGAGGGTCTCCAGAAGAAATCACAACTATAAAATTACCAAATACATGAGAAAACTATTTTAAGAGAAAATGACAAGGGACTGGATGGAATACTGACCCTGGTCAGAAGGTATCACTGAACCTTTGTGGAGACTGAACCTTCCCCTTCACTGGTACGGTGGTGAATTTGATGTGTTAACTTGGCTACTGTGCCCAGTTGTTTGATCAAGTACTAGGCTAGATGCTCCTATGAGGTCATGTTTACACAGAATTAACATTTAAGCCAGTAGACTGAGTAGTGCAGATTACTCTCCATAGTGTGGATGGGATTCATATAAGAGCAAAGACTGAGGTTTCCCAAAGAACAAGCATTTCTTCCTCAAGATTGCAACACAGAAACCCTGCCTTAATTTTCAACTGGCAGACTTTGGACTCAAGACTGCAACATCAACTCTTGCCCAAGTTTCCAGTCTGCTGGCCTGCTCTCCACATTTCAGACATGCCAGCCCACACACTCTCATAAGCCAATTCTTTAAAATAAATCTCTCTCTCTCTCTCTCTCTGTCTCTCTCTCTCTCTCTCTCTCTCTCTCTCTCTCACACACACACACACACACACACACATCCTAGTGTTTCTCTTTGTCTTAAGAATCCTGATACACTTTGAAGGCATGGTGCGGAGGTCCCTGCTTTGTACAGTCATCTGTGTAGAGTAACTGGCACCATTTATTGACATGAAAAGAAGTTGAATAGATGGCCTCTGTTTGTTAGCATCTCTCTGTATTCTCAGGCAGTGTTGACAACTATCCAACCAGATACAGGTTCTGCTGTCAGTGGCTAACAGAGGCGATGAGTAGGGTTAACTGTGTAGAGCAATGCGCATCAGGAGAAACACTGAGAAACAGGTTTGAATGTAATGTAGAACAATAGGAGGAAGAAAGGATTCAGAGGTTAGTAGGTAAGACAGGTAAATGACTGGTTTGGAATAGCAGAAGAATAAGTGCCAAGTTCATTGAGCTTTTTCAGTGTTGACGAGTCTATGAAGTCAATCAATTGTGAAAGTTCCCATTTCCACTCTTGCCAGAACTCCCAGAAACTGTGATATGACTGGCGTGTTGCTAAGAATCTATAGCTTGGGTTGTCCATAACTGATTTGACCTGCCTTCCTCATCGTGCATTCCCTGGTTTTTATCATATGTAATCTGTGTTTCCGAACAATGATGGCTCAGAGATTAGACTGAAGTTCTTGTACTGCCATAGATAATCCCTTATGAATAATTGAGTGTTGACTACACAAGTGACTTGACAGTTTAGCAATCATTTTCTAATTCTACTTTATGGTTTCTTTGCCTAGTTTAGAAGTAGACATTGGTAAATTAAATTGGACATCCTCACTGTAAATAAAAAAGCTTGGGAAATACATACAGGCATGAAATATTCATGAGGATTCAGTTCCCCAGAAATTTATAAGCAGTTTCCATTTCTGTGTATTATAGAATTGAAATCTCAATTATACAAAGCTAGCTAATATAAGACAGGAAAATGATGCCAGGTAATCACAGTTACAGTAATAACACAAAAAGCATCACCATGGAATAAAAATTATGAGCCCTTGAAACAATTTGTTTCCTGAATAGGAAATCAAAAGTACAAAATAAAAGAGCATATCAATTGGAAAACTATATTATAATAGTATGAATGCAAAAATAAAAATAAAAACACTGTTAGTTCAAGTATGTTCTCTCCATGCTAACCCATTCAGGCCTACTTACGTTTTGAAATATCAAGGGTATTCGAGTTCCTGGTACTCTCCTCTGATCTTGTTCCAACAATACTGTCAATGGAACACCAAAGAGGCCAGAATCTGCAATAAAAAATAAAATATAATTTCTTCATTTCCATCAATCCAAAAATGTTAATGCAAAATGTTAAGGCATAAGATTTCTAATATTGTCATTCAATCACACAAGTATTTATTGAGCACCTACTAAGTGAATGGCACTGAGTAGTCATTAAGCACATACCTGCCCAAAGGAAAATCCTGGCCTTGCCTTGTAGAGAAATCAAGCAAGAAAAGACAACTAAACAAATGATTGCAAATAAGCCCCCTGAAATAACTAGAAAAGTATAAACTGCTGCATTAGAGAAATGAGAGTCCTGTGGGAGTCCATAAATAGGCAAAAATTTACTAAATGTCATCAAATTAAAAGTTTTGGCTTAAAGCAAGAATCACTCATCTCTGCCATACTTAACTGACATTTAACATGCTATAACACGGCAAAATATACACTCTCACCTTAGAGAAATCAGCCAACTTTATGATCTTGTGCTACAAAGGTATTTTCTTCAGAAAATACAGTAGATATTTAGTATTTTTTCATTTAAATTTGCAGTTTTATATATTTGGGATTAATTCCAGAAGGAATGATGGGTAATAATCTCTAGTTCTTCTAAATTAAAAGCATATGCCTTAAGTCTGGCATGAGTATAGCTTATACCAGTGCCTTCCACCCCACCCTCATCACCAAGTGAATAGCTAGCATAGAAGTGTACCACACGTCATCAGGGGAGATAGAAATCTCCTGTGAACATGGAAAGGGGGATTATCTGTGAGGTGTGAGCACAGACATTGCCTACTGTGACAATAGAGATGCCACTCAGGAGAATGCCAGTGATCCAATAAATGACTCAGTTTAAAAATTAAGAAAAGAGCCCTGGCCGGTTTGGTTCAGCGGTTAGAGCGTCGGCCTGCGGTCCTGAGAGACCCGGGTTCGGTTCCCACTAAGGGCATGTACCTCGGTTGCAGTTTGTCCCCAGCCCTGGTCGGTTGTGCGGGTGGCAGCCACTCGATGTGTTCCTTTTACATCGATGTTTCTCTCTCTCTCTCTGTTCCTCTCTCTCCCTCCCACTCTACCTGAACAAAAAATGGAAAAATGTCCTCGGGTGAGGATAAAAAAAAAAAAAATTAAGAAAAGAGGTAATCTTCAAAAATGTTCAGTCTAGCTTATAAGATAAATAGCTTAGATAAGATATAAAAATACTTTAAAAGATGGAAAGAAGTCTATTAATAGCAATACTCTTAGTAAGAATAGCAATATTTCTCTTAATATTGGCTTTAACATCAGCTTAATGGTGCGGGGATCAATTCTAAAACATAACAAAAACCTCTTCACGCAACTTTTAAGTCTTGAGCACAACTATTTAAATTATAATTTTCATTTGATATTTGGAGATGGCTTTGTGATCAACTTCTAAACAAGCATCTGAAATCTTCATTATCCACAATGGACTGTGGAAAACCAAAAGCATCATTTAACTCAGAAATTCACCACCCTAAGCTTTAAGCTAAAATACCCCAAAGGGCCCTGGCTGGTTTGGCTCAGCGGTTAGAGCATCGGCCTGCGGTCCAGAGAGACCCGGGTTCGGTTCCCGCTAAGGGCACGTGCCTCGGTTGCAGTTTGTCCCTGGTCCTGGTTGGGTCATGCGGGTGGCGGCCACTTGTTGTGTCCCTTTCACAACTGTTTCTCTCTCTCCCCACTCTATCTGAACAAACAAACAAAAATTACTCCAAGGAACTGAGCACAGAAAGCGGTCTTCTGGGGCCCAGCGTGGAAGAGGGCCTGAAGGGAAGGCACACTTCAGTCCTACAGAGAAACTGTCTCTAAAACTTAAATCAGGTGAATACTTGTCTTTGCTAATGTTACCATGGCAACTCAATAATCCTCATTTTTGGTTTCTCTTTAGGAGATACCTTTAAGGTAACACAACAGGTCTGAATTTCCTAAACAGTACAGCTTTGTCAACAGAGAATTTTCTGGATTTCTAGACCAATAAAGTCTTGGAAAAACAAAAACCGAGAATCTGTTCTCTTTTATACTATAAAAAATACAGTAAGTTTACAAAATGGGTAAAGCTGCATACAAAAGAAAAACTACACCTATCCATGATTAATATAATTTAGTGGTATTATGTGCCACAATGGCATTATTTTCTTAAGAGAGTGAAGAATGTGTTTGCAAAATATTTAGAAGCAGAATATTAATGAACAAAAGGACTACTAACTACCCTATGCAGTTCCCATCAAATAAATAGGCAAAAGCAGTTGATCAATACTGGCCATTTTTCAAGATCTTATTTTGGAAATAAATAAGTATTATGTAACAGAGGTGTTATTTTTAATACATAGTTTTAAAGGAGAGAGAATTTGAGTTAAAATTCCTTGATTTAGAATGTCTTTCTTATTTCCTTCTATGGTAATTAAATATGTGTGCCTTTATTTCCTACAGCCTAGAAAATAGTGCATTTTTATTTATCAAGGTACAAAATTTTGAAGGCAATGTTTTAGACTCTAAATGTTAGATGAACTGTCATGTTGGTTTGTTTTATAGATGTTTTGCCCCTAAAGATACAGTTAAAAAGCCAAGCTCATCCTTCAACTTTAGAAGTAAATCCAACTGTTTTTCATTTCAAATTACCTTTTGTTTTGATTTTCACAGCTTTTTGTTGTTTCAGTTCAACACCCAGGACATCATAGAGGGCAGTCAGCTCAATCAGGGCCAAGTGGCAAACTTTCTTCATGTCCTGGGGCGCTAGGTCACCAATCCTGGTGGTACCTGTTTTGTCTTTTGGCAATCTGAAACTCTAAAACAAATACATACCATTAATATAGTAAAGGTATATAGTATCTAATCTTTTCTTAATGGAAGATAAAACTGCAAATGTAGAATAGTGACAATGAAAGCTATAGCACAATTTCTCCAGTCAGAATAAAGAGTGATTCTGCCCCGAAGATGCTCCCCAGGCCTGTGGGGAGTTCCAGAGTCAGTATCTGAAGTCTCCAAGAAGATGGACCCAGACCATGTGCTGGGAGTATTCATTCCGGTGACTAACAGAGCAGAGAGACCGTAAACCCAAAGGAGAAGAACTCCAGTTAACTGACTTTCAAGAACCAGGGAAGATTAGGAGTCCGGCACAAACCAGGAAGAGAAAGAGGGAGGAGGGAAGTCAAAGAGAAGGAGAAAGGAATAGTAGCCAAGAGTGAGTGCTTACAATGTGCTAGGTACCCTTTACCTAAATTATTACTGCCAAATTAATATAATAATATGATATGACAAACATAACATGATATAATGCAATAATACTGCCATCAAACCCCAAATACGGAAGGCACAGGAGGGCTCTATAGCATGGGCGCAAGGGAAGAGCCAAGGGGAGACTTAGGGGCATGGACTTCAGGGCCAGAATGCCTTCCAGTCATCTGGCGACTGACTGAGCTGGTATGACTCTGGCAACTGCTTAACCATTCTTTCTGTGAAATGGGAGGAGGGGCTGGGGGAGGAGATGGGGAAGGGGGGAGGAAGGGAGCGAGGGAAGGAGATGAGGAAAGAGAAGATGACTTAATTCAGAGGGCAGTTGTGAAGTTTAAGTGCCTGGCACTTCCCAAGAACTTTTATGTGGTTGCTATTATTACTATTTTCATTACTACTTTCACCACTGAATACGTAAACTGAAACGTACAGACACTACTGTCACAGCAAGTAAGTAGTGTTTTTGTTGTTTCTTGCCTTTCTAAAATAGTATCTACTACCTATTCTGCTTCTTTTAATAGGAAATACCTTAAATATAAGACAAACCACAAGATAGAACCATGAATTTCCCTAACACATTTAATACAAATTACAGTCCCACTGTATTTACTGATAACTAAAACAATTATGCTCAGTTTGTTAAAAACCTTATCACGGTTTTATCTTTCGAATTTATCCTTGACTTCCTAATTTAATAGCCAAAGATGCTCGACTGATTCCTTTCTATTCACTGTGCTTTGCTCATTTTTGCATCATATCATTAATACTTCATCGCTTAAAGTATTGCAAAAGAGCCCTGGCCAGTTTGGCTCAGCAGTTAGAGTGTCAGCCTGTGGTTCAGAAAGACCCGGGTTCAGTTCCCACTAAGGGCGCATACCTCGGTTGAAGTTTGTCCCCGGCCCTGGTTGGTCGTGCAGGTGGCAGCCACTCGATGTGTCCCTTTCACGTCGATGTTTCTCTCTCTCTCTTCCTTTCTCTCCCTCCCACTCTATCTGAACAAAAAAACGGAAAAAAAGTCAGGTGAGGCTAAAAAAAAATAAACTATTGCAAAAGATATGTCCTAACACAGTTCTCAAAGTGTAATCCAAGGTACCCTGAAGGAACCCAATACCCTTTCAAGGAGTCCAGGAGGTTGAAACTGTGCTAATAATTAACACTGAGGCATTATTTGCCTTGTTCACGCTCATCCTGCCATGCTGTACAGTGGCGTTTTCCAGAGACAGCACAGGAGTAGGTATGAGAACCAAGTTGCTAAAATGCAAAACCATGCCACATTCACAACTTGTTTTATAAAGACGAAATACATCTATTTTCATAGATAATATGTTAACTATAATACTGTCATAAATTAAATAATAAATCTTTTTAAAATTTCCCCATTTTAATTTCTAATACGGTAAATATCCGCAGGTAAAATTGACATGACTGAACTTCCATGGAACTCAATCCAAAGAAAGTCTTTCCATTCCAAAATCACCTGCTGTTTTTTTGTTTTTAATCCTCATCCGAGGACATTTTTGCATTTATCTTCAGATAGAGCGTGGAGCGGGGAGGGAGCGAGAAATGTCAATGTGAGAGAGACACATCGAGTGGTTGCCACCTGCACAAACCCAACCCGGCCAGCGACAAACTGCAACCGAGGTACATGCCCTTAGCAGGAACGAACCCGGGACTCTCTGGCCGATGCTCTAACCGCTGAGCAAAACAGGCGAGGGCCCCAAATCACTTTGAACAGCCTTGTTCATATCCTTAAAATCCTCCATGGAACCTTAATTTCCATAGAAATCTGCATATCCCCTCGTTCTTGGTTCAGTCCCAGCAAACTTTGGGAGCTGCAGGCCCCAGAGAGACAGCCGGCCCTCTGACAATATGAATTTGGAAATGCCGACCAAAAGGCCACCCATCTGAGGGTTCATCTAAGCGCTGGAAGCCACAGTAGCTATTGTCAACACCAACATCCTTCCTGGTAGATAAAGGCTTTTTGAGGTCCTCAATAATTTTTAAGAGCCTACAGGGGCCCTGGCCAGTTTGGTTCAGCGGTTAGAGTGTCTGCCTGCGGTCCAGGGAGACCCAGGTTCGGTTCCCGCTAAGGGCACGTACCTCGGTTGCAGTTTGTCCCCAGCCCTGGTTGGTTGTGCGGGTGGCAGCCACTTGATGTGTTCCTTTCACATCGATATCGATGTCTCTCTCTCTCTCTCTCTCTCTCTCTCTCTCTTCCTCTCTCTCCCTCCCACTCTATCTGAACAAAAAATGGAGAAAAAAAAAAAAAGAGCCTACAGGGGTTATGGGACCAAAATGAATGAGAGTCGCTGACCTAGGACAGTGAGGCCCTCTAGGGGCGGAGTCATGTCTTAGGCAGCTTTGTAACCCTACCATAGGCTCAGTCCCAGTCTAATCAATGAACACACACACCCTAGAGGGAGGAAGCACAGAATCGAGCCCCGCGAGGGGTGGGACCCCTGGCTGGATGCTCCCCTCACTACCTGTGATTTGTACTGAGTTTCAACTTTAAAACCACACAAAACTCTGACATTTTCCTCCTGTTTGGCCCCAGAGTTCTGCTAATTGCTTTGTTTCTGGAAGGCTAAACCCTGTCCTGCTTAACAACCACTTATTAAAAAAAAAAAAAAAAAGTCCTAAATGTTTCATTAAAATCAGTTGCTTTTGGTCTAATAAGCCCAACACATGTAATGTGATTATTCAAAGCATTACCCCGAGGTAAATGTTTAAAGAAACCTGAAGTGTTATTAGTTCAAACATTTGATTTACCTAGCAATACATGTCATGAGCTTTATTTATTTATTTATTTATTTATTTAACATTGTGCTTAATGAAAGGACTTAGTTTCTTTATCCCAATGTTTAATTCATAGCGACGGTTTTAAATATTTATGAAGTTTCCTGTCGTTTTGTTTAGTTAATAGACTGGATGGTTCGGTTAGTTGGCGAAGGGAAGCAGTGTAATTTCAGCAAAGGGAAGCTCTTTACCTTTTGAAAAATGTGCTTAAAGAAAAGAGTGCAATACAATTTTTTGAAAAATATAAGGTCGTTGGTTCTCCTGTGTGACCCTACATTAATCAGATAGCTCTTCAGGACTGCACCCTCTTTTGTAGACCTTGCAATCCGAGGGTCCCTTGGGTACCTCATTAGTTATGATGTAGTTGACGCTTTTATCATCACACCACTCGAACTTCAACTTGGAAAGCAAGGAAATCGGCTCTCACTGGGTCAATTTCAACAAGATGACTTTTTTTATATCCTCTGCAAGGAAACTCATTTCTTACTTAAGATTTCTTCATGTGTAAAATGTGATTTTATTATCATATTTCATTTCCAGAGGATGAATACTTTTCTAGATAAATAAAATTTTAAGAATCTTTCAAATTTGTGGTTTTCTAAAAAAAAATATTTTCTCACTTCTTTAATGGACAGCAATAGCCATCATTTAACCTTTTCCTGACAATTCAGGATCATGACCTTAAAGACCAAGTTTTATATTGTGTTCAGGTTTGTGTCTGCCTTAGATTTTTAGTTTCCTCCTTCAACCCAACACCTCCATTTCTTATGCTGTCCTCCACGTCCTCTAGAGGTGCAAATTCCCAACTTCGGCTTCCATTCTACTTGTTGGCCTTCAATACGCACAGAGCTGTGTTGCCAGACAATGAAAGTTGTCATAAAATGTGAATTTATTTGAATTGAACATTTCAAAAGAAGTCCAAAAGACACTGATGAATAAGAACCTAAGAAATAAAATACAGGCTTGCATCTTCAACAGGGACTTTACCATAGTTATCTCCAAGATCATTTCAAAGCTATGATCTTAAAAATTCTTAAATAAATCCTTGATGTTTTTATCTCCAAGACACAATGAAGGAGTGATATTAAATTTCTGTTTTATATGACAGACCTTATTTTTTTATTTTATTTTTGTTACAGATGTTTCTCCTTTATAACCCCATTGACAACCTCCTCCCCATCCCCCCCACCCCGTCCCCAGCTTTGTTGTCCATTCCGTTGGTTATGCGTTACATACATATAAGTTCTGTGGTTTATCTCTTCCCTTCCCCCACCACCCCCTCTTCTGAGGGCTGTCAATATGTACCCTACTTCCACGTCTCTGGGTCTACCCTATTCCTCAGACTGTTCATTATATTCCACAAATAAGTGAGATCATGTGGTATTTGTCTTTTTCTGCTTGGCTTCTTTCGCTTAGAATAATACTTTCTAGGTCCCTCCATGTCGTCTCAAAGGATAAGAGATCTTTCTTTCTGACAGTTGCATAGTACTCCATTGTGTATATGTACCACTGCTTTTTTATCCATTCATCTACTGATGGACACTTGGGCTGTTTCCACATCTTAGCTATTGTAAATAGTGCTGCTATGAACATGGGGGTACATATATTCTTTCTGATTGGTGTTTCAGGCTTCTTAGGGTAGATTCCTAGAAGTGTGATCACTGGGTCAAATGGCAGTTCCATTTTTAATTTTTTGAGGTAACACCATAGTGTTTTCCATAGTGGCTGCACCAGTCTGCATTCCCACCAGCAGTGTACTAGAGTCCCCTTTTCTCCACACCCTCGCCAACACTTGTTGTTTGATGATTTGTTGATGGCGGCCATTCTGACAGGTGTGAGGTGACACTTCATTGTTTTAATTTGCATCTCTGATAATTAGTGATGTTGAGCATTTCTTCATATGTCTCTTGGCCATTTGTATGTCCTGTTTGGAGAGGTGTCTATTCAGCTCCTCTGCCCATTTTTTAATGGGTTCTTTGTCTTCCTTTTGTTGAGTTGTATGAGCACTCTATATATTTTGGAAATTAACCCCTTATCTGATATATCATTGGCAGTTATGCTCTCCCATACAGTAGGTTGCCTTTCCATTTTGTTAGTTGTTTCTTTTGATGTGCAGAAGATTTTGAATTTGATGCAGTCCCATGTGTTCATTTTCTCCTTTGTTTCTGTTGCCTTAGGTGATGTGTCAGTGAAAATTCTGCTGCATATGATGTCTGAAATTTTGATGCCTACATTTTCTTCTAGGATTTTTATGGATTCATGGGTCACATTTAAGTGTTTTATCCATTTTGAGTTTATTCTCGTGTATGGTGTAAGTTGATGGTCTAGTTTCATTTTTTTGCATGTAGCTGTCCAATTTTCCCAGCACCATTTATTAAAGAGACTGTATTTACTCCATTGTATGCTCTTGCCACCTCTGTCAAATATTAACTGAGCATAATGTCTTGGTTCCATTTCTGGGTTCTCTGTTCTGTTCCACTGGTCTATATGCCTGTTCTTATGCCAGTACCCAGCAAACCAGATTCTTTTTTAAAATGTATTAATTAGAGAGAGAGAGAGAGAGAGAAACATCAGTTTGTTGCTCCACTTATTTACGCATTCATTGGTTGCTTCTTGTATGTGCCCTGACCAGAGACTGAACCTGCAATCTTGGTATATCGAGACACTCTAACCAGCTGAGCTACCTGGCCAGGGCTGACAAACCAGAATCTTTTTATATAACCTCCCAAGCTATCCTAAACAAGTTGTCTGTAGCTCCAATAAAATGACAAAAAGTGATCCTCCCAATATTTCCAGTACCAACTGGCACCATGCAGTTATCACAGCACTATAGTAAATCCTATGCTCTACTTTACATCCCACGGCTGTTGTATAACTACCACTTTGTACTCTTAATCCCTTCACCTTTTTCACCCAGCTCCCTAACCTCCCTCCCCTCTGGCAAACAACAGTTTGTTCTTTCTATCTATGAGTCTGTTTCAATTTTGTTTCTTTGTTGATTTTGTTCTTTAGATTCCATGCATAAGTGAGATCATATGGTATTTGTTTTCTTTTTGACTGACTTATTTCACTTAGCATAATACCCTCTAGGTTCATCTATGCTGTTGCAGATGGGAACCATAATTGAAAAATTAAATATATAAATAAATACTTTTTTTAAAAAAAAAAGGACACACACTCACACTTAAATTAAATGCATATATACCTTTAGGGCACATTAAGTGGAAGCAGCATAGTCTCCAGAAAAGGCTCCGGCTTTCTAAAGCTTAGTCACCGAAGCCAAACCTCAGCCTGCCATGTAATCTCTCTAACCCATTTCCTTGTATGAAAAATAGGAATCAGAACATCTACCTCATCGAAATCATCTATAAATAAGTGAAATAATTACAGGGCACACTTTCTGAGATATATAGTTGGCAAACAATAACATAAATGAGTAGCTAAGTTTTCAAACTAAAGTACATTAAAGGTTATACAACCTGATCTCCAAATTTAAGAGGAAGTATTTGAATCCACTGTGACAGCATAAATAATTAACATAGCCTGGCTGGTGTGACTCAGTGGTTGAGCATTGACCCATGCACCAAGAGGTCACCGGTTCGATTCCAGGTCAGGGTACACACCCAGGTTGTGGGCCCGATCCCCAGTGGGGGGCATGCAGGAAGCAGCCAGTTGATGTTCTCTCTTATGGATGTTTCTCTCTCTCTCTTTCCCGGTCCCTTCCCCTCTCTCTAAAAAAATCAATGAAAACTTTTTTTATAAAGTCAACAATGTCTTAATTTTATTTAATTAGACTCTACTATCTGTCACTTTAAACCCTTCCCATCTGTTAAAATGAAGATTGTCACTTTTAAAAGATACTTAGCTAAGAATAGTCTGGGAGTGTGTCATTTCTTTGGGCCAAATGATGCATACTCCTTTACTTTGTCCTCGAGGCATAAAAATTCTTAAAGACAAGTTCTTAAAAAGATAAAGCCTGGAAACAACCTAGGTGCCCACTATTAGGAAACTGGTTGAATAAATTATCACTGTCATACTTTCTCATAACGGAGTGCAATGTCATCTATACAAAGGAATGAGAAATATTTCTCTGTACTACTGTGGAGTGATCTCCAAAATATACCACTAAATCAAAAACAAACAAAAGACACTCTTAAGGTAGAGAAAAGTGTATATAGTGGGATACCATTTATCTAAGAATAGAAGGATAAACCATAAGATTAAAATAAGAACTGTACCTGTAAGGAGAAGAGAGAATGACTCAAGAATAGAAGCCAGGTTTTTAATGCACCTTGATTTTAGGTTTGACTTTTGAGCCATGTAAATATTTTACACGCTTATAAAACAAAATTCAGTTTCAAAACAAAACAAGACAAAAAAAACTATCCCTAAAAGTTGAAAATAAAATGAAACAAATTAACCCAACTAGGTATGCAGTTGGTGGCTTAACCACAAAGAGAATAACTATGCTAAGCAACCCAAAACAGAGAATCTTATCGTTACATTCCTTTTAGGATATACCCCAAGGATACAAACAACTGAAGAAATAAAAAGAAGTTTAAACTGTTTTCTGATAAGCATATTGTTGATGGTAGTATTGTTACCTGAGAACTCTGTGCATTAATGGAAGATAAAACAAACAAGTAATTATGATATTCTGATCACATTATCTGATGTGTCCTAAGAACCACTGCCCTCATCATGGAAGAAAAAAGAGACGTAGATATACTTATGTCCTCTGAAAAGTCTTTAAGCAATGACCAACCCGGCTAAGGAGTACTCCTGGTATCCTGATCATAGTCATGAAAGTATATTTCTATTAAACAGAACCAACATTTCTTCAAACAGACCATTTTAGGTCTGCAGCATAAACTATGCCAGATAAAGATGGGAAATTTTTTCTAATGCCATGTCATATGTCCAAATCCATAAGTTAAGATACTATTTTTTACAAGAAAATTAAAACAACACGAATTCATCACTAGTGAAAGATGCCAGGAGATAAAGGAAAAGAAAAAGAGAACTGGTAAAGAAAAGGAAGAAACCACTTTGAGAATGTTTTTCTGAAAAGAATTATTCAAATTTAGCAATTAAAAAAAGAAAGAACGCAAAGATTGTAAAATGTTAACTGTGGAATGGATCTACATGAAGGTGCATGGGTGTTTGCTAGACTACTCTTTCAATTTTTCTGCGGGTTTGAGATTTTCAAAAGAAAAAGCTGATTACAAATTAAGTGTGTTTAGTGACATCTGAACAGTGGTCTACGTACAGGTAACGGGGCATCGTTGCCTTTGCTCTTCTGCGTCCTATCCTTGGAGTTTTCTTTCTGATCGACGGCTTGCTCTGCAAATGATACCTCCAGGTTGATATCTGTTTCAGAGACAGGTGCCTCCTCAGGCACCAATGGGATCATCTCCTTTTCACCAACAACTAGGCTAGATGCCTGGTCTGGGGAAAAAACAAAAGACCCAGTTTGCATTTTTTATTTCTTCTTCTTTTTTCTTTTACTTTGAATACATTGACTATGTAAAAACTTTTAAGAAAAGTATTTACTACAGGAAATAATTAATAGTTGTTTTAACAGTAAAAAGTACACTCAAGGTGCGGGTGGGGGGAGGGGAGGAGAAATGCGCGGACCAGAAATCCACAGTTCAACTGTGCAATCTTTCTTGGAGGTCGCACTTGCAAAATATTGCTGGATGATCTCAAATTCTGAGTGAAGAATGTCACAAACACTTAATAGACTTCATTGTTGTTTTATTTAGGTTAGTTGTAGTCTGTTTTAGAACTAGCAACATACTATTTCATCTCCTCGCAGGGGGAGAGACACCAGGAATGAGTCCACTTCCACACCCTGCATTTTTTCACTCTGGAATGTTGCCTACCTGTCACGGTAAAAATTTCAAAACGAGAAATACTGCCAAAAACGCATCGCTGTGGGGGTCAGGTCTCAAGGTACCTGGTACAGGAATCCGTAGGTTTTTGCACCTGATTCTATCAGACAATAAAAGGTCCTACAACTATAAACCTAGTCAAATAACTTCTGCACATTTACATAAACATTTTAAGAGTATGAAAAGTTTAACAGTTTGTTTGCTGTTAATTCTACAGGAAAAAAATATATATATTTGAAAGCTTCTTTGCTGAAAACACCAGCTTTAAACTTTGAAAAATACTTCCAAATTTTACTATTTGATATGTTTATGGTTTTAACTCAACTCACATTTTTAAAAAACCTTGAAACCAATGACAGGATTACTGTTATTTTCTCATTGCAGACCTTCAATTCATGGGGAACAGAATTAAATTACAAAATAAACTATATATTATATACTAATACAACAAGGTGATGAAAGGTACAGTTAATGTCAAAATTTAATAAATGTCATATACCTATTATTAAAAGCATGCTGCCTAATATTTATAGTCATTTAAATTAAAAACAAAAAATCTTTTTGTTTTACTCAAAAGGAAATTAAGAATAAATGTAAATCTAGCCTGATTCACGCCCACTCGGTAAACAGGCTGGCTGTGGTCACGTGACCCGAGCCGGGCACACAGGACTGGGGCCCAGAAGGGCACTGGGTGGGTTTGAGCGCTACTGTTACCCTCTTGAAATGTGAACAGGAAGCCCTGCATTTTCGGTTTGCACTGGGTCCTTCCAATTACATACCTGCTCCTAGTGGCTCTCACGGTTAAGAAAGGAATTAAACATTTACCAATGTCAATTCCAAAAATAAAAATAAATCAGAAGCTCCTTGACAGTATTGATCTGCTGTCCTCTATACCACATTTTATGCTTTTCAATAGCCTGTGAAAATTTTTTAAAAATTAGAATAACTAGACCTTCATTCAATTAATTTTTAAATACTAACTTAAGCCCACCCGGTGTGGCTCAGTGGTTGAGCATCAACCCATGCACCAAGAGGTCGCAGGTTCGATTCCAGGTCAGGGCACATGCCCAGGTTGTGGGCCAATCCCCAGTGAGGAGCTTGTAGGAGGGGTCAATCGAAGTTCTCTCTCATCAATGTTTCTATCTCTTTCTCCCTCTCACTTCCTCTCTCTCTAAAACCAATAAATGAAAAATATTTTTAAAAATAAAAATAAATATTAACTTAAATGCCAAAGCCCAATTTCAGTTTTATTTTCCCACTGGTTTAGACTGTTTTATGTTTTACTGGGAATATATATGTTGGTTTCTTAGGAAACTATTCTAAGAGGGAAAACAAGATGGACCATTTTCTTAAATTAGAAGCTACCTTTCCAGAACGTGACTGTTTATGGACAACAATTTTAAAACTATTCCTTTTTCTCTTCAACAGCCCCAGGTTAGTTATAATAAATACCACCCCTCCCATCCATGAAATGTCTGTACGGAATGCAAAACTGAGTAGAAAAAGTATAAATTAAGTTACAATACGTAAAACATACAAATTTCCTCTAAAATATGGCAACAAACTTTAAAAAAGAAAGGTGCATCAAAGCATAAAGTTTCCAATGGTAAATCGTCAGGGAAGACAGTGGGAAAAACAGCTGCCGGGTAGTGTGGGTGCTGCTATAAGAAATGGATAGTTCATCGGTTGACAAAGTATCTACGAATCAATGACCTATTCTCAAAGAGAAAAGTTTCGAGAATGCTTTGATAACCTTTTGGCTCTTAAAGTCCTCAAGTATGAATAATATAATTTCTTTAATCTATTCTCCTTTGGTTTTGAAGTGGTCAATAGCACTGGGTTACAAACATTTTACACAACTCCTTGAAGCTTTTCAATTGTCTGAAACATCCCAAGTGCCTTTATTTTAAAAAAGAAATTGTCTTCATCCACGGGAATCAAAAAAGAAAATATACATATCAATATGAAAGTTTAAAAAATTATTGATAGCTCTAGATACATGTATTAAACACCGGGACTTCCATATACATAAAGCTGTATAATTTGATAAAAAGTCAATATTGATACTTAGCAGTAGATCAATTCGAAATGTGACAACCCTTGCAGCATTAGCACTTTATAACTTTTTCATTTGAAATAAGTATCTTTGATTGAACATGTTTTTATAAAAGCCCAAGTGGAGGGAAAACATTTACAATAGACTATGTCACGCATGCCTTCAGATTTCAAGCAGAAAGAGCTCCACGTTCGAACTCAAAACAGTATTTTCCATGCATTTTGTCCAGAACCTTTCAATGTCTGCATAACACTGGTTAATTCACTGGCTAGTGAAAGAGCGTGGCATTGCCCAGAACAGGTGCAGCAGTAAATACTCAGTGACTTGGAGGGCATTACACACGTTCTCTTATTACTCTGACTGGGGGCTCTGTGCCCACTTAGCGGCAATCCAGCAAAAGCAGATGTAAACCAGGCAGCAAGTTCGCCACACTTCCCTCGCCTGCCGCAGGCTAAGCTGGGAAGTGCTCCTACAATGAACTTGTCCTCCAGGACTTCTATTTATATAGCCTGTATCACCATCGCTGGCAAGGGAGGAAAACATCAAGAAAAGACAATATTTTCCTCGGTATTCACTTAGCGATTGCCAGTCACTGTTGCCCAAAGCCTAAAGCACATTGACACGGGCACAAAAGGTTCATCTGTCTCTCCTGCTGGCCCAGCTCTCTAGCGGGCCAGCACTGGGTATTCCAGTTTGCTTGCCATTTCAATGTTTGCTGGTATGTAGACTTGGGGAAACATCTAGTAATTTTATTCTGCTAAAAAAAACATGCACCTAAAGAAACCTCCACAGAATTAGAAAAGTAATTGCTTTTATAGATATAAATATATAGACATGTATGTGTGTATATACACACATATTACACAGATGTGTGTGAGAGTGTTTTAAAGGCAGAGGTGCAGGAAAGTTCTCAGAAAAGTATGGAAGAACAAAAAAACACAGATACTAAATGCTCCAAGATTCCCAAATGCCCCATATAATCTTGGACTAACTCCTGATTTTTATAGGACGTTTGGGAACGCTTCCCAGTCCTCCACCGTCTACCTGAGACTCCTGCCCAACTATTTCCAGTCCAAATACAACACTTCTAATGGCATGGACATATCAGGTGCCAAGTCTTAAGAATATAAATGAAAGAAAAGGACAAGTCCTAGAATCCCTCAGCCACAGACCAGCTTCATTACTGGTTTGAAATAACAACATATTAAAAACCAAAATTTTAAGCTTAAGTCTATTACTTTAATTTAGAACGTTTTATTTTTGTTAAATGAAATAGCTATAAATTCTCTCTTGATAAGTACTAATAAAGTGTTAATATTTCTTTTCATCCATACCTTGAATTTCTAATCCATTTATCAAATAACATATGATAAAGAGGAAGAATATATAAAGGAGAATTATAATAAACTGTCAAAAAATATTTTTTAAAGTTTTCTAATCTTTCTGAAAAGTAATCCATTTATGAATTAAGAACTTATGGCTTCAAATTCACTGGCTCCATTTATTGGCCGTATGGCCTTGGGAAAGTGACTTCACCAGTATTCTCATCTGTAAAATAGATGAAGAATAACACCTACTACATAGAGTTCTGAATATATTATATTAGGTAAACATCTCCGCATAGTACCTGGCACAGGGTAAGCATTTGGGAAAGTAACTCTGTATAGAGATGTTAGAACAGATAGACACAAACATGAACCAGTCATCATCATCATCAAAGGCTCAGCCTTGTGTAATTATCTACTTGGGTACTTTATATTACTACTTTAATAGAATGTTCTTACTAGAATTGAAAGCGAATGTTTTAAAAGGCTGTATCTGTTTGTTATACTAATAAATGGGAAAATACAAGAGAACAGGTCCAACATACCATCTTTTCCTTGGTATTTGTTTTCATTTGTTCTGACTGACTGTGATTCAGTGCCATCTGGAGCCTAAAGATAGAAAATGGGCCATTTAGTCATCTCCGACTCACAACCAGAAAACGGTATTGTAAATAATTCCATTACTAACCTTTAGAATAGAAGACATGTATTCAGAATCATAGCAATCACGGGGGGAAAGTGCGATGGTTACAATCAACAAATACCTGATTACCCACAACTTGTAAGATAATCCAAGGGGGATATGAAGAATGCCAAGAGAGTACCTGCTATCAAGGAGGCCACTATTTAGTTGAGGGGAAAAGACAAACATATCAAAAAGCTAGTGATATCCATCAGTAGACGAGGAGATACACAAAATGGTCTATCCACACGATGGGAATAAAAAGAAATGAAGTTCTGACACATGCTATGACATGGATGAACCTTGACAACATTTTCTAAATGAAAGGAAACATTCACAAAGGCCACATATCATATGATTCTATTTCTATGAAATGTCCAGAAAAGGCAAACCATAGAGACAGAAAACAGATTAGTGGCTGCCTCAGGGGGAGGGGGGGATACAAGGAATGACGGCGGATGGGTTGGGCTTTCTTTTAGGAATGATAAAAGTGTATGGAAATCGATTGTGGTGATGGCTGCAAACACGTGAATACACTAGAAATCACTGAACTGTCGATTCGAAATGGGTGAATTGGATGGTATGTGAATTATATCTCAATAAGGCTATTATTAAACAAAATTACAAGGTGACAGGTAGGTAATAAAATAGAAACCCTCAAATTTAAAAATAAAATCTAGTGATATATGTGAGATAAATTAAAACTAATTACCAAACGGGTGCGAAGAGCACAGGTATGCAAAGGAACTCCTTCTCGAGGGGCTGGGGCAGTGACTGGGAACGAAGCCCTCTCGGGGTTACGGACACGGGGCAGCAGCTCACTCTCCTCACCAGCAGTGTGGCCAGGCAGTTCCTCCGCCTCTCCAAGTCCGGCTTCAGAAGGGACTCAGTAATCAGGAAGGGGGGGCTAGATCGACCACACAGGTCTAATTGAATGAGTTATTTTTAAAATAATCATTCAACTAGATTTTCATCTCTACACAAAAGAAGGTGGCCTTTGGGGTCACCATACATTTCAACTCAACCTGTGGGCCAAGGACTCCCCCCTTCCCTGCAGTCTGAGTCTAGAAAAGTCCTGGGTCAGGTGCATAGACACCGTCACTGCACTACTTCAAGGCTGGTGGCACCGGGAGAGTGTATGGTGATGGGGTCACGGCCATACTCCAGTCTCCCTCCGGACTGAGCAATGCCCTCCTTCCTTCGTCCCCAAGCCCACCGAAGGTGAGCCCCCCATGGCCCGGTGAACCAGTGAGTGATTCTAATCTTACACGCGGACACATATTTTAGAGCATGTGGTCGGAATTGTTTTCCTTAGCAATTGAAGATGACAGTGCAGATGGTACTCGTTTCTGTATTATATTTCCTAGTGTCAGCAAGGGCTTCATGAGGAAGCATTTTACAATGGAAGAGCCGAATATGCATGGTCTGAGCACAGAGGGGCTGCAGGTGAGGAGGGCTAGCTCGTGTCTGCTTGATGGATGGGGCATGGTCCTAACGGGGGGCAGTGTTTCTATTAGAGGCACGCAGTGTCAGCAAGTCAACACTGCTTTAAATGACGGGTGCTAGTTCTCTTTCATGACTCCATCAGATGATACAATCTACCAATTACCTTGAACTCAAACCCTGTAGTTTAGGCATTACCAGGGATTTGCTGAAAAATCCTGCTTCTAGCAGTGAGTAGCAACATCCTCTTGGGAACTGGCTTGACTCCCCCCGTACGCATTTTGCTTAGGCTCTGCTCGGTGTCCCCTCCCCCTTCTTCCTTCCTCGTGCCTCCTTTAGTTGGTAATACTATATTTCCCTGCCATTTATTTTTCCCACAGCTGGAAACCTAGTTCAGTCCTGCAATTCCAGTGGTTTTCCCAGATCACCACTGGGTGGTAAGCACCCAGTGCTTAACTGCCTCACAGCCCCAGGAGACCAGCCTGGAATGACCCAGTGACCCCGAAACTGCAACACAGCCTGGATTTGATCCACAACTAACCAAGCGAATGGAGAAGAACTCTGCAGCTATAAAGGATTTCTTAGAAGAATGAAGTGTCTACAAAAAGCAATAAAGCTCTACATGACAGAAAGATACCTGAAATCTAAGCCCCCTTATCCCCACATTTCTTTAAAGAATCATAAAATTTTTGTTCTTTTATTTTTTTTTATAGTGTAAATAGTCTCATGTTTGGATTACTTAACATCAGAATCATGTATGGAAACCCAAATATAGCAGGATGCACAGTGGTTACAAGCACATACTAGAGTCAAACAAATTAGGGTTTACTCTCTACGGGACATTGAGCAAGTTACTTAAAGTCTATGAGCCTCAGCCGTAGAATGAAAACAATACCTCACTCCAAAGACAGCTGTAAGGATTAAATGAGATGAGGCAAAGAAAGTAGTTAGCACAGTAAGTGTTCAGTTGCGGCAGCAATTATTATTGCTATTATTATCACTGCAATTATATAGTTCAGGATTCCTTTTGTTTTCTTTCATTCCAACCACCCTAGTGGGTTTCCAGTATCATCTGGGAACAGGCCAGTATATGATCAAATTCAACCCTAAGGACACCATTTAGTTCAGCTCTCTTGAGTTATTTATTTTGGGTAGTAAAACTTTCGTGATGAAGGATCGGATGTTATTTACATTTCTGTGCAAGCTCCATGTGTCCTCATGGATGAGTAACACATAGTCCACCAAGTGGCTATTTTTTTAAATCCTCACCTGAGGATATTTTTCCATTGATTTTTAGAGAGAGTGGAAGGGAAGGAGGGAGGGAGGGGGAGAGAGAGAGAGAGAGAAAGAGAGAGAAAATCAGTGTGAGAGAGACATATGGACTGCTTGCCTCCTGGATCCACCACAACAGGGGCTGGGGAACAAATCTTCAACCCAGGTACGTGCCCTTGACCAGGAATCAAACCCTTGACCCTTCAGTGCATGGGAAAATGCTCTAACCACTGGACCATACTGGCCAGGGCACCAACTGGTGTTTTGAGTAGCACTGTTTTAGGCAATATAGGTCTCTTACTTTACCATGTTCCCAGACATCTTTTCATTCATGAGTCCCATAGCTTCTATCAAACACCAACAGCTTCCTCTAAAGGTCATCTTGACAAGTATTTAATTAAATCTTCCATGTGCTGGGCACCACGCAAAGTGCTACGCCCAAAAGGGAAGTTTTCTGTTTCCTAGGTCCCTACTTTGCAATTCAGCTGCAACGCGTTCACTCAGATCTCACTTCCAGTCATCCTCAAATGAGTCCGGGAAAAAGCAAATCTTCCTACAGGAGTTAACAGATAAGGAAGAATCCCTCTCTCCTAGTTCTCTATAAGTAACACTCGGTAGTCACATTGTCGGGGGTGGGCAGGGGTGTAGGGCCACTCCTAATGCTCCAAGGACACCTCACATGAGGAGTGTCACACTGGATTGTAACTCATGTAATTTTCTGCCCCATCAGCACTGTCTTCGAGGAGAAGGACAGGGATCAAGCCCCTCTTGACCCTGCCAGGACCGAGCTCCACTGTCGGGAATACAATGTGCTCATTACGGTTTTCATGGTATGAACTGCATCGTCTAGTTGATTCTAAGCAATTATCCCTTTGTTGTAATAAAAAAGAAAAGAAAAGGAAAGAAAGAAAGAAGACCCACTTTTTCATTTGACTCTGTCTGTTGGGCAAATATGTCTCTGACGTCAGGAATGTGGTGCTGCTTGTTTTTTTTCCTTAAGGTCTGGGAGACAGTCTCTACTCGCTTCTGAACAGCTGCCGCCTGGGTCCGGGTTAACGTTGACAAAAACACCATGCTTTCCTGGGGATCTCCAGCAGATTCTCCAAAGAGATTAGACAAACCGGCCTCCTTAAGCCACTCTTCTTCCAGTTCGCCCTCTGAGACAGTAGAGAAAAGCGGTATTTAAGATCACAACATATGAGAACGTGGACATTTTCTTAAGCTTTACAAAAAAGCTCTTACTGAAACTCTCCTATGGCAACTGAACCATAGTGCTCAGAATCATCATCTGAAACTTGGACAACTGCCATAAACTCCAGCTACAGAGATATCAAGTTTTAGATCCATTTCATACATACTCAATTAAAAAATTCAAATGACTTCAAATGTAATTAACCTCTATAACTTCTCTGCAGATTAACTATGGGAAGATTATACTGTTCCCTTTCCAGAGATGAGACAGCAATGAAAATATAACTTATTTCCATCAAGTTATGGAAGGAAGTCAGTACTGGGGATATCCATTAAAGCCCTGCTTCTTGGCTTAAATTCAGCACTACCCCCGAGTTCAACACTAACTGATGGAAAGGTTTGTTTTCTCTGTTCCCTGTCGCTGACAGGGAGTGTGACAAAGAACTAAAGAGCATCTAGACATCAGGAACTAATCAATTTGAAATTAATTTTTTAAATTCCCCTAGTCAGCATATCAGATGCATGTTTTTTACAAATTAAAAAAAAAAAGCACATTATTTATAGCAAAAAACAGCTTGTTATAGGCAACACATTACATAATCAGATCAATTGAAAACACTAAAAGCAGGATGTAAACAGTAAAGCAAATACTGTGTGAGATCTAATAAAAATTACAGAAAAACAAAAGATTCACACCAAGCACCGAGTTGACAGAGGAAAGTGAAAGACCAACTACTTGGGACACAAAAGACCTGCATCCATACCCCCCATGGCCACGTCACTTTGGACCGGTCACTTAGCCTCACGCCAACTTCGTGTTCTCATCTGTAACCTACAGCCCAGCTGTCCTGGCGGCCTCATGACCAAACGTGGGGATGTTATATGGGATGAGCTGTGCAGGGCTCTATTGTGGCTTGTGTCACATGATGAAGTACTGACTGGTTTTGCCTGTCTATTCTTCTACATGATATAAACTCCTTGAGGGTAGAAATCACGTATTAATAACCTTGGCTTCAAGAAACATAATGTCGTGCCAGACATTCTGCATGCCAGGCAACAAGAGCTGTTTACTACTGACATAAAGGCAGCCATTCTTATTAATGCTGCTAAAGTAGAACTCAGTAAGGTGTATAAAACCAACTGCCAGAGGGAAAGCTCAGATTGCATGATAAACAATATTACAAGATGGAATCATTTGTTCCACTGAAAAGTAGAGGTGAAACTCAGTTTGAAGTCAAAGAAAAGGCAGAGACATGTAAAAACATTCCTAGTTTTTCTTGATAAACACATAATAAACAACAACCTGTGAACACCTTTTCATCTTGGAAAATTATGAAATAGCTAATGACACACAGCTATGGATCAGGTCTGAATGATGTTTCCTGTAAGATGCTTCCCCCTGTTTCAGCAGATCATTGATGTGCTGTGTCCATTTTGAAACATTGACACAGAAAGATTGAGATATTATCACAAATAAGCCTGACTTTACTGGTAAAGTCAGGGGGAAAAAATGAAAGAAAACTCAAACAAAAAAATGAATTGATTATAATTTTCTTTTACAAATTTAAGGTATTATTGATAAATTTTTCAAGCAACACTATAACAAAAGAGAAAGACCTTTTGAAGTGGATTTCACTGCTTAAACAAATCAATGCTGCGTAATTGAGTTAAGACGTCTTCCACACAGCCCTGGCCAGTTTGGCTCAGCACTTGGAGTGTCGGCCTGCGGACCTGAGAGTCCCAGGTTCAGTTCCCTCTAGGGGCACGTACCAAAAAAAGAAAAAAACCAAGAAGTCTTCCACTGAAAAGGAGATCACTATTACTGGGTCACTGCCTGTGGCTCTTATTTTCTCAGCATTTATATCGACTTATATACCAAAGATATACTTATAAACTTATGAATGGCCTAAGGCATAGAAAGAAAACTGTATAATAGATGTCAAAGTTGGACATCGAAACTTAATGACTGCTTGAATTCAAAGGATTAAAAGAAGTAATGGCCCTGGCCAGTGTGGCTCAGTTGGTTGAGCATCATCTCGTATGAAATTTAAGGGGAGAGAAAAAGTAGTTGTACATATTTCTCCCAGAATATCAAGTGTAGTAGTGAAACCATGGGAAATATGGCTGGGAAGAGACGTGTGAAAAATTATGGACCAAAGACAAGAAAGAAGCAAATAAAAAAATGCTATTGCCATCTTCCCCTGTCCAAATCTACGCTCTTAGGTTAGCTGGCTGGCCCAATGGCACTGCATCCAATCCGGGGTACTATGCTTTGAAAGATGTCCAGGACTGGGGTAGGTCTGAAAACCACCCATGAGGAATAGTTCACGTGAATCTTTTCTCCTAGAAAGGTTTTGTTAAATAACTATCTTCAAACATTTGAAAGGCTATCATGCAAGAACAGAAGAGATTTGTTCTGCTCTTCCAAAAAGCATGTGAGTTGAAGGGAGTATAGCAGATTATAATCAATAAAATATAGGACATCAAAGCAACTCAATCTGACTGACCAGAGGAAAAATAGTATCACTGCAAAGTAGTGAGCTTTCCACGGGCATCCCCCTCACTAGAAGCCACATGACCTTTTGGCGAGAATACCACAGAAGGAATTCAAAGGGAGGTTAGATGATTTCAAAGATCAAGTCCAGCATTAAAAGTCTATGACACAGTAAGCGTAGCCAACAAGACTTTAGCCATATAAGCTTAAAGGAATTTACTCATGCCACTTGGATTTGGCAACTGCATCTATAAATCTGCCACAAACAGTAATTCTCTAGTTGAAAGGCAACCTCATTATGCTTTTTTGGGTTGCTACATCTTTAATTTCTTATTGTTGTTCTCTGCCTTTCCACGTATTCATCGCCTGTAAATATATACACAAACAAAAAAGTGTTATTTAGTTTGTTATTACCATCAGGCTCTTTGACCACCACCACCTCTTGATCTTGTCTGTTCTCACTAGATTTCTTGATGTTTTCTAGTTCAGTCCAATAGTCCTCCATAGATAGTTCATCCACAGAATCCTGGGAACTCGATCGATCAAATGAAGGCTTCTCCTTAACTTTGGGGATTTCTTGGTTCATAGTGTACTGGCCATATCTGCGACTATAAATTCAAAAGAAAGCATGGTTTATTTTAGTACATGAGGAAGCAGTACAATTTAAAAAATGTCATAGCAGTGAGCTGAAAAATTTGGAAACTCCTTAAATACCCCTTAATAAAACCAGAGATATATACATATTGAAACTATTTACCCTGAGATGCTACTAATTATAATATGCTTATAGAAGGAACGGTTTCATTGTTTACCCCCCAAAAAAGTATGGTGAAGAACAAATAGCAATGTGAGAAATCATTTTTCCATTTCCATTTCACTTAAATTATTTTGACTTCTTTAAACCTGAAACCTTGTTTGTAGAAAACAACAGGTTAAATCTTGATTAGAGGTCATTGGTTAATTAAATTAGGATTAAATTTGTAAACAATATTTCACATTTATCATTTATATCTATAAACCAAACTCAGTTAATCTTCATATATCAAATATCTACAATCAGTAAATTAGGTACTTTTTGAATTTCTATTTTATTTTGGGAACCAAAACATACATAGAAAAATGACATATTGAGTTATATTTTACTATAGAAAGCAACTTTTAATCTTTACTTATAAATGTGCTCATTACTTACATGTATTTTTAAAGTGGCAAAACTTCATTTATTGAAAAAATTAATTTATTGGTGATTCTAATTCAATATCTTAGATTACTGCTTAAATACTGATTTCAAATACCATCTACGAAGAAAAGAATAAATTTAATAAATGAAGGTATTTTTATGTTAATTTATTCAAATTAACTATATTCTGTCTTTATATGTTACATCTCACCTTCTACTAAAATTGAATGAAAGGACCTTATAATAAAAATTCATATATAATAGAAATTTTAAATTCTTTGTTTCAAATTGTTCATTTTGATATAGAGGGACAAAGCCTAATTACTTAAAAGAGAAAAGTTATCAGTTATGGTGCCTCTCTTTTATATTCAATAATTTTTTTTAAATACACTTTTAATGGATACAATAACAGGTGAACTAGTGTTTTGTTATTCTAATTTCACATTGCTCTTTTATTTCGCAAGAAGAAGTTAGGAAGTAATACTTTGCTGGATTGGTTTTACTTACAGCACACACACAAATAAAAAGATACGCAGTAAAACAAAACTCTTTAATAGCATGTGAACATTTTTACATTTAAACTGGCCTTTCCTATATTTACTTAAAATAGTCAGATTTAATACCACATAAGGGAGAAGGGTCACTAAATTCTAGTCAAAGCTACATTGCAGTTAAATTTCAACGGTTTCTTAGAAAAAAATCATAGAACTTAATTGCCTATTGCGGCAAATAAATGCAATATAACTGACCACTTAACTGTAATATGCCAATAGGCTAGTTTTATTCTTTTAAAGATGGTTCTCTGCCTTGACTATGCACTGGTTGCATTAATGAGTGAAGAGTCACTGTAATCTCCCCTCAGAAGTCACGGTGGGGTGGTGATGAATGAGTGTCAGGACGGGGCCAACAGGAGGAAGTCTAGGCATGTTTGTGGGAATCTCTTTCCTCCAGTCTCCATTGTCCATTGTGCGCCTCCCCCATCCCTTAATTCAGGGCAACTTCCTCCCTCCCTGCCCGAGCCATCCTGTTTACATCCCTGTATCCCAGAACGGTCCCCTTCTCTCACCCAAGTGGCCTAGATAAAGTCATTGTTCTCATTGGAAAGTTTACACTCCTGCTTCTTAAATTAAAATGTGAATGAGAAAGCTCCCTCTCTCTCTTTAAAACAAATAATTGTTTTTAAATTTCTGTGATCAGCAGTTCAGCTTCTTTATGGGTCATTCATATTCCTTCATTCTGCTCTACCAGAGGTAGCTATTGACAGAAAGTCTGCCAGATTAATTGGGGGTTTATTTCATGTCCAATACATAGAGGCCCTGTCCTTGCTTTTGTTTTACCTCCCATTGTCATGGAAGCTCATCTACTTCATTCCTATCTCCTACAACTCTCAGCCACAGGAGACTTCGATAAGTCCTGTGGAATGTGGAAAGTATGATGACGAATGCCGAATAATTTGGTTTGTCTGCTCCCAGGAAAGAGGAGCAGTTGGACTTAAACTACATGAAGTCTTTCACTCCTGAAAGAATGTGTTTATTCTGGCAAGAACTTCCCAGTAAATTTCCACTGAGAGAGCACACGCAGGAAAATGCAAGGGCACACACACCTCCCCATCAAGCCCTGCTTTCGGGACAAACCCAGAGCCCAAAGCGACACGCTCGGTGCTGATGAATCCACTTGATATTTGGACTTCAATAAGATTCCAACGCTAAATAGGTTTGCTGTGAAAACCTGACATATGGAGTCATGGAGAGATGGATCTTTTTTTTTTTTTCCTATCATCAGTAAATGTTACAAGAAAACATTTTTCTTATATTAGAGAATGCGGAGTGGAGGGAGGCAACCGTTGAGTGATAAGATAACCCTCCTTAGTCAGAACACCATGTATTTTATATTTCCTCTAAAAATGTAACTGAACATTCTTTGATTACGATTTACATCGATAAACATGTCACGTCACTTCTTTCCTCCTCAGAATCGACTCTACTTTTGCACTGCAGGCAGGCCAAGGCTAAAAGTCTGGCCTTTCTTAAAACTGTCCTGGTGAGAGGCCAGTTAATGGTCTCCTCTCCCCTGTTTAGAAGTAGGTTATATGACACCATGTTCCTTCTGCAAATTGGGTTCAAGAACATAAAGCAACATCTGCTACACATAATAAAGTGCCGAGCAGAAGTATTTTCTGTTTCCGAACGATCCACGCCGGCACGTGGCGCGGAAATCGAAGAAGCACCGTCTGTACCACAGGCAACTACCAGCTCCCCCACCTGCTTCCCGGCCAGGGACTGTTCCACCTTCCTTCTGCCTCACTCGGCCTCCAGAGTCCTATGTGCTGCTCCCAGGGCCGCTCTTCCAACACTGTCATCTCTCGTCTTCGACCACGACAAACCAGACACTGTCCTCTGAAGGCAGGTGCGGCCCGGCTGCCCCTGGCACCCCGACGCATCCCAGAGTCAGCACGTTGCCCGGGGCCCGTGGGCACGCACGTCACCAGCAACACTAACTTGACAGACCCTGACTCGGGCAATGTTCTTTCCTCTTCATCTTGCCACATGACCCCATGCTGTGTTTGTCAGAAGTGGGGCTTTGTTTCCCTATCTTTTCTCCTATTGTTTTTCTGTGGTCCTTTTCACCGGCTCAGTGAATTTCTAATGAACTGATAGTCTTCAAGGTAATGCCTGTTATTTATTTTGTCCCAGGGAATAGTAAGCTGGTCTGACAGGAGGTGCTCATGGCAAGGCGGTGGGGGTTGCCTGCATCACCCCGTGCTCTACTGGAAGAAAACAAGCTGGTCGATGAGTCATCCTGGGACCAGTGCAGTCAGCGAAATGACATGGAGACACGGGACTGGGAGTCATAGCACCAAATGGTTCAGGTCGACTTAGCTCTATGATTTTGGGAAGTCACTTAACTTCAGTAATCCTAACTTTTCCCATCTATAAAATGGGAAGAATACCAATAGCCTCGATTGCTTTGTTTGCTGAGTTATCAAGTGAGCATTCTTCCTGAAGTGCCTCATAGATGACCATGAAGAGGGCCCTCAACTTGGCGTCACTGCTGACACCTGTACAACGAACTGCACATAACTGCCCCTCCCCCACACTGCAATAAGGCCACCTGTGCCCTCTTCAAAGGTTCAGATTTACTTAGCCTCTAGGACAGCTGTTCTTAAACCTTTTGGTCTTGGGGCTCCTTCACACACCTAAAGAATATAAAGTACCCCCAGAGAGCTTTTGCTTATATAGGTTATATCTACTGATATGAATGCTATTAGATATTAAAATGGAAAAATCAAATACTAGTTTATTTGATAACAACAAACATCTATATTTTCCAAACTTATATATATACACACACACACACATATATATAGTGAGAAGAGTAGCATTGTTTCACATTTTTGAACTGTCTTTAATGCCTAGTTTAATTGAGGACATCTGGATTCTCACATCTGCTCCTGCATTCAAACTTTTGCCATATTGCGTATCATGTAGCCTCTGCCAAACTCCACTGTATTATCCTGAGAGAATGAGAGTGGAAAAGGCCAATAATGCTCTGGTGTTATTATGAAAATAGTTTTGATCATCTAGACCCTTAAAAGGGCCTTGAGACCTCAAGGTGTTCCTGGACCACACTTTGAAAACCGCTGCTCTAGGAGTTCTCAAGAACAACACCTCGTGGATCTCCAAAAGCACCAACTCTGTGGGCAGCACTCCGCAAGCCTTGCTGAAAGCAACAGACAGGCTTTCCTCGTGACTCTTGACCTACTTCTTTGTTTATTTTACTTTAGTTTTACAGCCTTTCATCAAAACTGGGACTTATTCCAATTGTATATCCATATTTAATTTATACTACAATGAGAAAGAATAAAAACGTCATTTAAAACCCCTGCCTTGCCAACGTCTTTTATCATTTGCTTTTATCCATCCAGCGTAAGAGGAAGAAGTTCTCTCTAAGCTTCCCCTTTTGGCCAGTGCATCTGAAAATGTGTATTTTCCTTTATGCTCCTTTGTCATCCATACCTCTTCCTACAACGATCTCAGGGCAGATTTGTTTGGAACTAGGACATTTCTTTGAACTATCTGGTCCAGTCTCTGCTTTTTGTATGTGTCCACCCTATCAGGGGGCCTGTTGCTACACCTCACAGCCAGTCTGTCTCCTGGTTCTGCCTCTTACACAGGCATTCCTGTGGCCCAAAGTCTGCTTTCTTAACACTCTTTGATGCTAAGACTTGGTTTTGTTTCTTACAAGATTCTTTCTTAAAGAGATACACTTTCGTTCACATTCCTTATCCTACTTTTGTCTCCAATGCAGGAAAAGAAGTGACTGGGTTGGGAGATGGAGACTGAAAAATAAAATTTATTTTTGTTTTGTTTTGTTCTGTTTTTAATGTAAAAGAAAAACGTTCCTACTCAGATCATGACTTATCATCAA